ATACTTAACAGTGCAAAACTACTAACCCTGTAAAGACAGTCAGACGATATTGTCCCATCTTGCTTTCTAACTATATTAATCGCATCTGAAATTGAAGGTTTAAAATAAACCTACTTATTAATAAGTCAACCCGATGGTTACACAAACCTAAGAATGCAACAGAAACACAGTCTTTGCTGGCTGCGAATAATGAAAATCAAACATTCAAGTCAATCTGAAGTGTCAAATGCAATATCAAACGAGCTTTAATAAGTCTTCGTTCGGGATAAAGCAACAGGGAAGCGCAGCACAATAACAATCAGCAAAGTCTCCCAAAATCTCTCGCTTGAGAATTCAGTATTAAAGCGCTTATTTATTTCAAAGTATAAGTATTCCTGAAAGTATTTTTTCCGTGATGTCATGTTTAGCCTATCTTAATGAGCTCTCGTTTTCACTGACTGTACAGTCCCAGGATAAATGGTGCGTTTTTATGAAATTTCAGCTAATTATATTCCTATTTAACTTTTCTAAAATGTTTTATTGTAGTCGATAAGGAACCATCTTACGATGTTAAGTCAAAAATTTGAATAAGAAAATGTGAACCAACACCGAAATTATTTTTGACGGAGCCTGGTATTTCAATATGAATTTATTTAAAAATGAGTGCCATGCTGCTTTCACTGAGCCTTCTCGTTATTTCCACCATTCTGAAAAATGGTCTACAAATAGTAATATGAATCTTTTTTTATATCGTTCTTCTAGTGTCTAATAAATCAGTTCTGTCTGTTTCATTGAGAAAGCTCACGTTTACTTATTTATATAATTATTTATATTTTTACGATTAACAGCTTCATTAATTGATATCTGTGAAGCGACTTGACACATTCGGTAACAAAATTTGACAGTGAGGGAAAAACTGGTTTTTTCCCCTTTGTACAATCTTTTTCATGTCTAGTTGACCTGGAAATTCATTCAACATACTTAATATCAGTGATGTTCAAACTTCTTGTCACATTTCTGCGTTTAATTTTATGGCTTTTGTGTAAAACAAATAGTGATTGATTGTTTCACAACTATTTGCCGTGTTTCGTATCAATACCACTGTTTTTAAAATTTTTCGGATCCTTTATGTAAACATAAATTTTAAACTTAAGATACGTCTTTCGTAAATTAAAAATTTTTGAAGTTAATATTGTCTTATTTCCATTCCTTCATCATCCAGTTTAATGCTTGGCAAGCATAAGCAGCAGCATTTTTCTTTACAAGGATGTGTTTTATCTTGAAACTGTACTTTCGTAACTTCAGTGCCCAGTTTAACAATTATGGTGATAAATTATTTGCCGAATAGAGGCAAATGGTAGTGGATTGGTTCGTTAACATCATTATTGTTTCTTAACGGAAATACATACTGAGTTTTTGAATAATTAATGTCTGCCTTTCGGTAGCCGAATAAATCCTGTGTGTTTTATTAAGGGCCTATCCAAAATATAATATAAAACCAGCCTATAGTCTTACATAAGCACTGATTCTACAGCGTAATTAAATGCGTCAGCAGATATTTCCAATCTACATTCGGTATCTGGAAACTTCAAGACCAGAGATTTAATGAAAGAAGTCTTCTGCTTCTCGAATGTTGTGCTCGCTTTCGCCATCTGACTAAATTTACCTTTTCTTTATTTTAATTCAACAATAGCTCTGCAGCCTCCTCGAAATTATTAATGAATATCCTACACTCGAGCACAACCCCATAAACTATGTTAATTTCTTCGCCATATACAACGGAGAAAAAATTTTAATTGCAATAATTTTAATTCGGTTGTTCCAGTTTTAATTCTGTTTCTGTGCCTATGCGTGACATTTTTAGACCTTGTGATCGTCAATCTTGTTGTTATTTAAAATTATTTGATCCACGTAATAAATATTGATTTCTGTATTACGTGCCCCAAAATTAAACCATCATCCTTTGGAACGTTGCGAAAGCTCCACTTTAAACGAATGACAGCGCAGATGAACACCATCTTTGGGATATTCTCCATTCTCACTGCTTGCCTGAAAATTTCCAGAAGTTAAATCTAAAGTGGTCATGCAATTACGCGAGCGAGCTAATTTTCCTAATTGTTTTCTCAATAACTGATAATGGGTGAACATCATATTTCGTTATGCTATTGAATTATCTATTCTGCTATTAATCAACGGAGTAAACGCCAAGCTATTTAGTCCAGGGAAGGTAAATTATTTATTTTTCGGCACAAAACAGCAGAACTCGCGTAAGAATTAGGGGACTATTATTTTATTCTTGATCATTTCACTAATGTACTTCTTATTTATCCCCTCTTTAAACCTATCGCACAATAGGGTGCTACTGTGAAAAAAGGATTAACATTTGAATCTACTTTTATGTCATGCATAACGATTTGCGTCAATATACAGATATCCTCAAACAGAGCAGAAAAAAAAATACTTACCAGGTCTTAGAACTTTTGTTTGTAAACCAGCGGCATGAGGTATAAATCTAAGATCTAGGGCGGTGATGATGCTATTTTTGGTTATACAAATGATAGCTATTATTACGGCTAGAAATGGACTACTGACATCTGAACCTTATGAATTTACGTGACATTTTATTTGTCAACCGATAAAACATTTACTCACGAAATTTTCATCCTAGCGAAAACCGTGTAGAGTCATTAGGTTAATTGGAAGCAGAAAAGATGCAACCGCCTTCGCCGGGAATCGAACCACGGACCTCTGGAATACCGGACCAGCGTGCAGAACCATTACACCACAAAGGACGCTAGGAAAGCGAGAGAAATACCTTATACTCCCCTTTTTAAAGGGCGACTAGGGTTTTAGGGGACCTAGTCGCCAAATCCTAGGTGTGGAGAATCATCATCCACAACCCTTTTAGTTCGGGTGCCACTTGTAGAGTCATTAGGATTTTTTTAGAGGCAGAAAAGATGAAAAATATGCTACGGCCTTCGCCGGGAATCGAACCACAGACCTCTGGAATACCGGCCCAGCGTGCTACCGTTAAACCACGAAGGCACGAGAAATACCTTATATATTCCCTCTTTTAATGGGCGACTGAGGTTTTTAGGGGACCCAATCGCCAAATCCTTGGGTGAGGAGAATCATCATCCAACACCCTTTTAGTTCGGGCTTCACTGTAGAGACATTAGGATTTTTTGGAAGCAGGCAAGATATAAAATGAGCAAACGCCTTCGCCGGGAATCGAACCACGGACCTCTGGAATACCGGTCCAGCGTGCTGAACCACTACACCACGTAGGACGATAGGAAAGCGGGAGAAATAACTTATAACCGCAAACAATTTCTTACCTACTTTCAATTTCAGAAAGACCCCACTTCTTTCTAAGCGGCGCAGGTATTTGGATCTGTCAAGAAGATTTGTATTAAAACAGCGTTTATAAATTAAATTTGCATAATTACTTATTTTAATCTCTATTTTCATAAACTTGCATTCATTAAGATAACATTTACATTATTAAAGGAAGCAAGAACACAAAATATCTCAAATTATAAACTAATATATACCAAACGACAAAAAATCTCAAGACCGGATAAAGTCAGCCAAACGCTCAAAGCGTTAATCGAAATGTTATATGAAGATAACTTTGAACCGGTTGGTTACTTGAACAAACCATGTAATTTTTAAATAGCTCTTTTTCATTTCTTAATTAACACATTAAATTTTCATTAACACATTTTTTAGTGAAATTAAGTTTTCAAGAGCGTCGCATGCAATATAGTGAACATTGCAGCAGCTCAGTATTAGCAAAATTGTTAACTTTGAGGTCTCGCCAAGGAAGGTGACATTATTGCTCAGCAACTGAAAAGCGTGGCACAGATACTCATAAGAAACTTTAATAGAAGTTCACTCTCTATTTTAAAATCCTTAACTATATACAGATGTACGGAAATATCTTCTTCTGTTTAACAATGCTATACACATCCGTTTTCGCGTTTAATAGCTATCAAAACGACTGTCATTGTTTTTCTGAAAGCTTATATTTTGAGAAATGGCCGCCCAGACGGTATAGTGGTTAGGGAAGCCTGACTGCGGTACCGAAGGGCCTGGGTTCAAATCCCGGAGAAGGCATGGTTGTAACTGTTCGTCCTTTCATAGAAGGCGATGGTGACCCACCTATTAGGTGTCTCCATAATAAAGAGGCCGTCACATCTGGCCTTGTATAAATTAACGGACTGTGTTGCACTGTAACTGTTCACAATCTGCCATTCGAAATATATATATATATATATATATATATTATATATTGGTAGAAATGACCCACAGCAGTTAATTCGTTTACAAGGTATTCTAATCTAAGATTACGTGGGTCAAAAACTCAGTCTACTGTTTACTAACTGAACGTATATAAAGCTCTTTTGAGTCAAACCTTGTTACGGGATTAGAATTACAAATATTCAGGTTTAGAAAATAGGCTGAGTAGTTAATGGCTTTAATCTCTTGCAACATGATTGAAATAAAACTCTTTCTGTGCAATTATAGAAACAATTTAGATCTTTTGAAGCTACAAAATGTAATAAACCACATAACGTAATATAATCAATATGTCCTTTCCGAGGTATGAATCACGGATTTTCTAGCTTCTTAATGGACGTGCTAATGACTTACACCATGACAGCACTCAAGAGAGGATGCCATTATTTTTCTGAATTAATATTATTCCCATAAATCTGCCAAGGTATATAAATCAAATGTACACGATGGGTGAAGAAGCGGCAGGAATTAGGTTTAACATTTCCATGGTGACAGTGATTTTGGCAGCATTAGAAGACCATTTAGACCATTAGACGTTGTGAATTTGAAATGCTGCATTATGTTAACCCCGTGCTATAATTTGAGATCAAACGGTGTATCTATTGGCTAACAGACGCCTATCTCATCTAAGTAATTTTTACTATATCTAATCTAAGTAATTTTTAACTGACTATATCTAAGTAATTTTTAAACTGACAGTAGCAATTTTCATCTTTCAGGGAGTTACCAGAAAGAACCGAAAATGTTCAAGCACAGAGAAGAGAAAGTGGATCGATAACAGCGCACGAAACTATTCCATCGCAGAGGCGAGAAAGCGAAACTTCCGTGAATCAGAGAAGAGAAAGTGAAAATATCTCAACACAGAGAAGAGGAAGCGAAACTTTCTCAACTCTGAGAAGAGAAAGTGAAACTGTCCCAGCTCCAAGAAGAGAAAGTGAAACTGTCCCAGCTCCAAGAAGAGAAAGCGAAATTGATATTAATGATACTGGTAAGATAATCATTATACCAGATTTCACGACGATGATATTTTATCTCAGCTCATATAGTATTAAATTTTAAGAAGGCATGCATGCTCAGAATACATTCAAATGCACGTTTAATTATTTCGGAAAAGCAAGCACTTTATAGAAAAAATAATTTCCCTTTAGCTCCCAATATCACGAAAAAAGCGTAAGACTATTAAGAAACATTAGCAATTAAAATATGTATCATCAGCAGCGAGAAAGTTTTACACTTTTAAATAATTTTTGAAGCAAAAAAATTCTTCTTACTTGCAATCAGAAAATACAATTTTTATGTAGCTAACTTTCTTTAAGATCTTAAACTGTATGTTTTAACTGACATTGAGTAGCTGCGTATGATTATATAATTTAGCTGGATGATCATCAAAGTACGGTAGAAATTTAGTAAACGTTTTCTTTGTACATTTATAAACTTTTAAGATTTTATCAAGCTATCTTTCTCTCTTATAATCGTTTCCGAATATCTGAATGCTTATACTGGTTTCTAAAACTAAAGAATCATCTCAGAAAGCAAATCACCGTATTCGTTGACTAGCTGCTCCAGATAGAACTGCATATTTCAGACGATAGAACGCCATCCCTTCCTTTTTCCGTGTTCACCATACTATTTGGTAACAATTGTATAAAATTGGCTCAAATACTTATCGTCGCTTCATTGTCTTCTATCAACTCATAGCTGGTGGCCGTATAACACTTCCTAAATTAGATTAGACATATAAACATTCTTCAGCTCCTCAAAATAACTTTCTCATTGTCTTATTTCAACTTAGTTACTACATTCGTGTGAATAAAAACTGAAGTAAATTACTATATTTTATTTCGTTATATAAAAGCTGAACACTTTTAATAGTATCAAAAACATAGCTCTAGCTTTACTGCAATTTTTCCTTTGAATATGCTTGAGAGAATTTATATTGCCCTTTAAAGAACATTTAAATAGAAAAAGACACCAATTAATAGATAAAGTCTTCCCTAATTTATCGGGCTTTGGAGTGCGCTATGTATTCAGTTTAAAATTCAAATTATGCGTTACATTTTATTTTGTTTAGAATAATTAATAATTTTAATAACATGAAGCTATTTGATAATCTTAATCAAGTAAAATGCTAGGTGTTTCAATTCAAACTGAAAATTAATAAAAAAGTAGTCTCATTTTTAATGCACAACTTTGCTTCCATTTATCAATATATATATGTATATACTGTATCATTTTCTTTAAAGTAAATCGAATAGTTTTCTTTTAGTTTTTCCTCAGTTTAGACTTATTTTGAACAATTGAGATTTTCTGCCCTCTTTAATTAAAATTCCTTACGAAATAGGTTTTACTAATGAAACTTTTTTTAACATTTTGTAAAAGCTGCTATTGGTTTCACTATGCACATTTTGTGCTCTGCCAATACTGAAGCCAATACTAATTCTGCCATTTCACATATAAAAAATGTGTGTTACAAATCTTTCTTCAAGCTATCGCAGTGAGAAAAATTTTACAGCTGCTTCTTGAATTGTTAGTATTTTTTTTATTAAATGAGTTCGAATTTCTTAACGTGATTTTAATTTACTACGGTATAATATCATAGAAAATTCTATTTTCTTTCAGTTTGACATTTCTATTCAGAAAAGCTCGTTCTAAATGATTTTGCGTTTATATCTTGAGTTTTTGAAGATTAAATCTTAATCTAGGGGCCTGTGATAATCATTTATTTTCAAGTTGTTCCATTTAATTGATTTAGAATTTGCCACTCTTGAATATTTAGTTTAGCATCTTTTTTTGAATTATTTTTCACAGCCTCACCCATGTATTCATATGCAATCTTTCTTTGTGTATATTTTCTTAAGCTTCTCATCGGCTAGTTCTATCATATATTCTAAGAATGAATTAATACTTGGTGTTGAATCAAATACTAAAATTATATTTGCTGCTAAGTACACTTTAATATCGACTATATTCACGATCATTAATTTTCTTGAAAAGTTACTGATTTTAGTTATATCTATGAAAAATGACTTCTTGTATTTACTGAATCTAAATAAAAAGTAATGCCTTAAGCAAACTAAAAGTTGGTGTATTACAAAATAAGCAAATTATTTAAGACATAAAGTTATATGTTTTAAAAGATATATATATATATATGTATATATGACAGATAAAGGAGGATTCTCAGACTTTACAACATTTCTCTGTGTCAAGTTGACATTTTTAAGAAAATGTTTACAGAAGTATTAGTGAGTCTCATTTTGAGAAAGCAAAGTATTATTAATCGGCGATATATGAATGTTCTAATGAACTGTAACAAAAGTAAAATTATAAAAATTTTAAATATTTTATTTTTAAAATCTAGTAGCTTACAATCATACTAGAAACATTATCGAATGAATCTTTAGAAAGTGGCGATTAGACTAGCAGATATTTTTTCAAACATTGCAAAATCAGACACAGCATTACAGTTGCCAACTCTTTTTAAGATGTATACCTCTTAAAATAATTAGACTAAAGAAATACTTTGCAATCTTACTCAGGAACTACGCTCTTATAATGGAAAATGACGTATTAACAATGATAAAATTTTTTTAAATATATTAATTTTCAGAAAACGCATATCTATTTTTTATTTGATCGACAGAATAAATATTTTCCCCTTTTCGTTTATATCTGACACTGTAATAAATTATTTACCTCTAAGTAAAAATCACCTAATTATGCACTTATTAAATTGATGAGAACTAATTCCATTTTTCCTTTGAATTATGCAAAATATGATAATCATTATCATTACCACATAAATTACTTTTTAAAATTTGATAGAATGCATATTTTTTATATATAAATCATTTTCCAATACCATATACTGTGACTGGTTTCCTAGAGTAAATTTACATTCAATCTGAGAATGATGCTATCATAGTTTGCATATCTTATGCAAAACTTACATGAAACTGCCACAGTACTTTTACAGATAAGTAAATTTCGTCATATTAAAAGTACCATAATTTCCGGTAGATAAAGCCACCCTGACGTATAAGCCGCACACACATGATGATTGACTAAAAAAATTAAAGTTCATCGGATAAGCCGCACTGCCGTATAAGCCACAGCAAACATGGCACTTAATATTCATTCATTCAGTAATTCTCCGCCATATTGATGTAATCATCATCGATAATATTTTACAAGATTTACAACATAAATATAATCAGTAATATATAAATAAATAAGGGAGAAACATCTTACCTTGAACTTGCCGAAAACGAACTCTAATGATTTCTAACAGATATTACTTTTACGGGTTAGGTAAACTTCGTTTATCACCATAAATTACCATATTACGAAAATGAATGCGTAAATTAGATTAAAAAACCAGAATTATTTAATTAAATTAACTACATTTATTTACACAATACCTTCAAAATCCGTCTCGTCAATGTCAGAATTAAGTAAATTTAACAAATGACCATCAAGATTAATTTCATCATTATGTTCTAAATCACTTATTTCAACGTGGCTATCTTCACTTTCATTTTCTTTTTGGATGATTTCCAATTTAATGAAAGCTGATATGCTCGTATCAGCTAGGACTGTTTGCCATGCTTTATCGATCCATAAGGCAGCCTCCTCATAAGAAGCTTTTCTCATTCGTCAGTAATTTGTGAAGGAATAGAGTCCGCCTTACATCCATTTCTTCCACTGCTTTCGCAGTTCATGCTTGAAAGTTCTATTGGTAGTAAGATCCAGCCGGTGTAAATTTTTTGTAATCCCACCTGGTATTACTGAGACATCGATGCTATTTTTTTTCCATCGGATCTTACCCTATCCGCTAAATGGGATTGCACTGAATCCAGAGCGATGAGTTGGAAAAAAGCACCTTTCCTTTTTCGATAAATTTCTCTCAGCCAAAACAACATCACTTCTTCCCACATCCATCCTTTTTCGTTGGCTCAAAGAATAACTCCTTTAGGGAAGTTTCCATACTCCAAAAAAAAAAAAAAAAAAAAAAAAAAAAAAAAAAAAAAAAGCTACCTCTTTTTCAAGCCAGTCCATGGGAAGCTTTTGTCCAACTGTTGTTTTGGTCCTGGCAGAAAATGTCTTTCGCTTCACGAACCTGAAACATCAATTAAGTCCTCCAACAAAACGTTTAATGCCCATTTGTCGAGCAATTACTTTTGCTTGAAGGCGAATTCTAACTGTTGATACTGATAATTTCCTTTCTGTCTGCTCTATTGTCCATGTCTCTAAATTGTCTTCCAGAACGCTTCATCATGTCTTTTCATTACACATTGGTTGCTCATAAAGATACTTGATCCCTAAAGTCATATAGCATAATATTCCCAAATGAATGAGATCCAATATCATTGCTGTGTGTTTTAAAGAAACCTTTGTTTGAGATAATATATAAACAAAGCTAATTTACTATAGACGCTGTTTTAATACAGGAAACGTATCTTAAAATAAAACGCATTTTCAAATAAGGCATAATACAATTTCTTGCGTTACAACTAATAGAAATTAATATCATGGATATATATTTACTTTCAAAAATGCTGAACGCGATACGTTTAATAAATTGCTTCTCATTTAATACGCAGTTCTTCAAATAACTATTTTCTATCAGATTGTTTTGAAAAGATGTACTTTAAAAGGGCTCCAAAAAGTCAAAACTCTACTACATGATTTTGGAACACATTTCTGTTCAAACATAAAATTATCCCTAGAAGTCGTTTGTATCCAGTCTTCTTAGCATCATAGTTATGTGAAAAAAGAGCATTTCTTTGTTAATCTTATTTAATTAAACATTTAATTCGGAAATAAAACGTTCTGTTAAAATTCTTTAATTTATGAAGATTATCTTTTTATATTAAGAAATCTCTTTACCAAATTTTTATGTTTACTTCTGCAGTATGCATTAATTTGCTACAAAATATCTGCTTCTATTAAACGTTCCCATAAAATTTATTCCCACTTAACAAATATTCGACAGATATAGGGCCTAGGTTATGGTAATCAGGTGATACACCATTCTGCCTTTATATAGTTATGTTGGCGATGTAAGCTATACTGGTGAATAATCTTATACAGTGTACATTAATGGCCGCAAATCGGTTCACTAACCTCGGTTTTTATTCTCGTTGAAAGCACATTGAAATATTCAGACAATTTTACTCCAAAACTCCCACTGTTTTCCCAATAGCTTCCAAACTTGAATGTATTATGCATTAATTCGTCAGTCACAATTAATTCTTATGCCATTGTGGAGACATGAACACAAGGTTGCAGTGCTGGTCCTCAACACACATACAAGCTAATATCTCTAAAGAACACCATTGTAGAAACCCCTCAGTAATGATTGCATCTTCTTCTTCATTCATTCTTCAAATGGGACAAAATTAAAAAAAATAAAGATATTCACGCCATCTCTGCTTATGCAGTAATTATTCACATATTAATTCGATGCATGCAGACCGTTTTTCTTTCCAAGCTAGGAAGCATAATGAATTTTCAAGAAACCCACTGTAGAAATCTCTAATATTAGTACAATGTCAGCAGCGAGTAATATTACTTAACACAATATACTTCCATTAGTGCTTTGCAACAACATATGGAAAACTTATATAAATATTAAAGTTTGAATGTATGCTTATGATTTGTATTGCATGCTGCTGTTTCATGTTCTTGCATTATCAGTTTAAAATTATTTTTCAGATTTGATCGCAGCAGCAAAACTAGGAAGTTTAGATCGGGTAAGTCAAAACAAATTATTATTTTCTTATTTTTCATATCTACTTTAGGGAATTAACATTTATTAAAAGTGTCCTAGAGACAAAATTACACATAGTCGACATTTGACGTAAAATTACATTTAGACAAATTTTGAACTCTTTATACGTTTCAATTACCTCTAATATAAAGCTGCAGCTTACGAAAATTACGCTACCTGAAAACGAAAATACATCATCATGAATGCGTATCACAAAAATTTTGAAATTAACATAAGAATTACAAGACTATGGAAAGCTTATTTGAATATGGAAAAGCCACGAGGGCCTATCTTCCAAAGAGGAGCGATGCATGTATGTGTAGGGGACTGAAACTGCCTCGTATTCACGTTACACATTGGAAAAACTTTGAAAATTAAAGATGAAGTCAATCCATTGGCATGGAATTCAATCCAAACCAGGTCAAACTACCAGTATTCAGTAGTCTTAACCATGCGGCCTCTTTCGACACAAAAGAAAGTTAGACAGAATGTAAAAATATGGTGTTATTGTTATTGAACACTAGCGGAAGTACCCGATGCCAGTTAAGTTAGATTGAGAGTAATGTATAACAACAGAGAGAACGATACCGATAAAGATACAAAATATACGATTCATAGTCATACATTTTTCAGTCTGATGCGATACGGAACCCACGTAAAAAGTTTCGATATAAAAATATGCTAATTCTCTCTCATTATACCAGCAACAATGGCATGCAGTTTTTAATGATTTTCGTCTTTCTAATCAAATGGTCGTGTAGGCTCAAGTTTCATCCAATATTTCACCTATATTCTATTTTAGTCGATTAAATGTGGCAAAAAATTTATCATAATTAATCTGAAATCAATACCGCGAACAAACACACAAGCAGGCATTCTTCTTTATAAGTACAGATTTTGTAAAACTTACAATTTTTATTTAATTAATACTTCGGCTAATTAAAGTCGTAAGAAGATGGGAATAGCGGAAATGGCTTACCAGGAATTTTTTGAATTGGGAATAATGTATTTAATGTCTGGCAATGCTATTTTTATTTCATCGTAAAACTTAGAAAATTTTTATTCACAAACTCTAGGATTTGAAAACGAGGAGCGGCAACAACTTTCGATATAAAGCAGATTTTTACCTCCAGCTTGCGAGACTGTTGCCACTCGGAAAAAGGAGGGCAAAAATTACCGTTTTTCAGAGTTTTTAATTAATATCTCTGATTTTAGCTATTTTTGTTTGGAAAAAAGTGGACGCCGATCTTTTACAGGACCCAGTAAAGAACTTTAGAAAGTCTGGCGACGATAGCTATATTAGTGACTGAGTTATTAGAGGACAAACACACAGACCTTTATACATATAGATATGCTTCAATATATTCGTACAACTTTGCGACAAAATTGTTCTGAATCACATGTCCTCATTCTTAACAACATCTATTTCTATAAAGGTAGAACATATACCTTTCGAAACATTATGCCATGTCCTTTAAACTTCTAAATACTACTGAATCGATGATCGGGCGTGATGCTGTGCAAGAAAACATTTCTTCGAATACAGCTATGCATATTTTAGCATATATTAAGTGAATGTGCACTTCTGAGTGTCTGCATCATATAAAAATTCCTTTTTTTCACGACGATAATGACAACTAACTGGAGAATTTCATTTCCCAAACTTAAAATCATTATTATCGAAAATATTATATATCTGTGTCAGGAGCGTTATGCAAGAAACATGTGATATGGTTTAGTTTTGAAATATCGCAGCTCACAGCAATTTAATATAAGCGCTTACGACTTTTATGAAAGTAATTACTATTTTTGGGATGGAAAGGAGAAATAACGAAATCAAAATACAGATTTAGTTTGGTTAAGAGGTTACTGCAAATTAAAGTTAGAATTTTGATTCCCATATTCTTTATTTTGTATAGATATACTATTACATTAATAAGTTACGTTTAAATCAAGTATTTATCTTGAAACTCATAACCTTAAGCGAATAAACCATTAAAATAAATAATAATAATAATAAAAAAGAACGAAAATAGCAGTTTCGCTTGTTAAAACTAAAACCTTTTTACGAGCATGGTTGCCAGAGTTTAATGATTTGTGAAAAGATGGCTACTCAAGCTAATGTAACACGTAAGTACCGAAACTTTAACGCCTGTATTCTAATTGATTAACAAAATGGATATATTTGTACATTTAAATGAATTCTTCATTTTCATCCGTTTCCAGTTTTTTGTATGTAATCCATTCCGTAATAGCAATGTATAAAATTTGTTCGAAAAAAATCTTTGCAAGCTTTAGTTTTTAAATATTGATCACACGAATTTTCTTTTACAAGCAAAACAAGGAACAAAAGATGATTACAAAATCGGATAATTCATTTCATTTCAAAATAAGATACAGAATTTTAGAGAAAGAGTTTCAACATTTTAAATAGAAGTTTTGAGTAAATACAAAATCTGACTTTTTATAGGGTCATCAAAGGAGCAAAACTTAGCTACTAAAATATACTATGCATCATAATAATCAGTAAAATATTCTTTTCTAATTCGTAAATTGGCGTAATAATTACGTAAAACTGTATTTTTACCACTTTGATAAAATATTAAATGACAGACAGCATGCCAACCATGGAGGTAGGAAAGGGAGAAGGGGCCAACCCGCGCTAAAAGTGAAGCACTGCTTTGAGGCTTGGGTCACCAGATGGGGTGTTCTTTGTTTACATTCAGAAGCTAGCTTGACAAGATTCTGATAGTATTTCGACACACGACAGTTCCATAGAAATCGAAAAAGGGACACTTTCGCATGAAAGAAACATTCATAGTGGGATTGATAATAGCAATTTGTATAGTTTAGTGACATTTACGCAAAAATCACATCTTGGTTATTTTTCGATAACTAACAACTGCGATTTTGATTATGAATTTGTTTCATAATCAAAATCGCAGTTGTTAGTTATCGAATTTATTTAATGAAAATAAATTTAATGAAATCATACTGTTTCGGAATGATATTTCAAATAAACGCAGTTCCTTTAAAACGGATAAGGAACAGCGAATCTTCGCTGTATTGTTGGAAAAACGCATAAATGGCAGTTTTCCATATTCACACATTTGTCAGTAAGATCATTTCCTTTCACATACATAAATGGCAAGAGAAGTTCAAGGAAAGACATATTTCGTATAAAATATTCAAGGCATGGGTATTATAACGAAGCATTAATTTCGCATAATATAGAAAATAGGTAACATATTTTCCTTTCGCCGCAGGTTGCTCGTTTACATTCTGAAGGTCATAGTCTCATGCAGAGAGATCACGATGGGAGAACGGCACTTCACCATGCTGCGTTTATTGGAAACACGGATGTCATTCGATATTTAGCGGCATACGGTAAGCATTATCATAGTTACTGTTTATTATTTTTTGTGCCTGCTTATATATAACCTTTAACAGGTAACTACATAGTTTTGGAATCTTCTTTCTCGTAAAATAAGGAAAAGTATTGCATCTGCAAACATCTTTTAATATACGTTAATCGTAGTCAACGGTTTCAGATGTACACGGCGAAAAAAAAAAGGGGCAGGGGACAGTTCTGTGTCTTCCGTTCTACTGGGCCGATTGACAAAATTCAAATTGCGTTTTCATGTCTCGAGAGCGCAACTTAGGATATATATTATATTTATATATAGCATTGTTCTAACATAGGTATTTTGATCCAAAATCGGACTTTTTCTGAAGTAACATACCAAGTTACTTCCATTTTTCAATTCTACGACTCAAATTATGCCTAGATATTAAATTTTGTAAAATTTGGTGCAAAAGTTACGGAGAAATTTAAAAATATATCTTGGCGCAATTTTTTCACATTGCGCCAAGAATAATTCACTTGGCGAACTTCTTAATATATGGCAACCTAGACTAGAAGAGAAACACGCTAATGTAACAATTAAAATCGTAAAAAACAACCTTGTATTTAACGTAAGTATATTGAAACACTCAATCGATTTCGAGGGCAGCTAAAGGTCCTTCCTCATCAGGAGAAAGAAATACCTAGAGAGAAGAAAAATCAAAGAAGACATTCCACTGTTAGAAATAATATTAATGACCTTGTCGTGCTTCCATTTTATCCTTCTGTTAGCTATAAAATTGCACGGATTCTCCAGAAATTTAATTTTCAAGTCGGTTTCTCCCCTATTAATAAAATCCACCCTTCGATTCTAAAAGATTGCGTTTCTGTCTTGAATTCTTGGGGAATTTATAGTATATCGTTTCAGTGTGGTTTAAGATATATTGGCGAAACAAAATCGTATCAAGGAACATGAATCTTATGTCAGAAAAGGCGAAATTAACAAGTCTTCAATAGCGTATCATAGTTGGACATTTAACCATAATTTTGACTTTGGGTCTGCAAAAATTGTCCAAAAGGCTTCTTCCATATGTGAATTGGATTTTCTTGAGGCTTTTCATATTCACAAAGATTTAGCATGTTTAGTTAATGATTTGAAGTCCAATCCAGTCCTTCCTAATGCCTTTAAAATTCTACTATCTTAATTCAGTTATTTTTGTCGATAGATGGCGTTACCTCCTCGCGTTTGGTACTACCAGAGGGTATAAAAATCCGTTAAGTGGTTGCTTTCCATTATTCGAAGTTCAGATTTTGAGCGTGAAGGTGCTGTTGCCCCTCGCTCCCTATTTTTAATTTCGCTAATTTTTCCTTGTCCTTTGTGGTAGATGTTTGATCAGATAGCCTGGCTTAAAAGTAGGTGGCCAGTGTAACTCTGATTAAAAATCCGTTTATAACCACGTGCAGTGCTGATAAGGACCACGTGTTTCTGAGACTCATTCCCTTTATTTTTCTTCTCTCTAGATATTTCTTTCTCCTGATGAGGAGGGACCTTTAGCTGCCCTCGAAATCGATTGAGTGTTTCAATATACTTACGCTAAAAACAGGTTACAAGGTTGTTTTTACGATTTTGATATGGCAACCTATTTACCTTACCCTTCCATTATGCCGGAACGGAAAAAAAGGCACCTCTTTCCTATCTTTTTACATTGTAGATGAGCGGAAAAAAGTCACATCGTTCTTACTTTCAAATAATTTTAGCAAAGTGCGTACACCACATTTTCGTTGTTATCACTTTCAACAAATATGACAAATTTGAAAATGCGCCAATATATAAATTCACGTATATCTTGGGAAATTTTGAATAAAAAGCTCTAATTGTTTGCAGGTATCCTTAAAAATACATCTACTTTAAGATGATTGTAAAAATTTTATATGCTATAATTCAAAATATTTTTCAAAAAATTTAGAAAATTATTTAAAAATACAAATTTCAAAAATAAATCTCAAAAAATGGGTGAATTTTATTTGGAATGAACCTAAATTTCGAACTGTGTAACAAGGAACTACTCGTGCGATTTTTACAAAACTTGGTAGTTTGTCGTAGAATTGAAATATGGAAAAAAATTGGCATGTTATTTTATAAAAAAAAGTCCGATTTTGAGTCAACATATTCATGGTAGAACAGTGCTATATATAAAAATATCTAAGTCGCGCTTCCGAGACATGAAAAACGCAAGTTGAATTTCGTCAATCGGCCCAGTAGAACAGGTGATATGGAATTGTCCCCCCCCCTTTTTTTTGCGCAGTGTACGTAAATTATTCCGATAAAATACTATAAAACTACGTAGTTGTTGCATATATAAAAAAAGAAAAATAATTCCAATAAAAATTTAATTAAAAAAAGAGTTATGAAAAATTTATGAAACAGAGCTTTCGTTTTTGACGCTAAAAACATATTTAGAAAAGACTTATCTATTTCTGCCCGATTGCGCCACTTAACGTAATATCGCATTATGTTATGTTTTGATACCAGGGCTATTTAGTTCGATCTTGCAACGTGTGCCATAGAACGAGTCTGAAGATCTCTTATCATGCGTGCAGTAATCAGCAAATGTCCAAATTCCAGAACAGTAATGTACGAAGAGTCATGAAAGCTTCAACTTATTTTTCAAGTTAATAATACACTGGTGGACAGGTGCTAAGGAAGGATGAAAGTAGCAGCAATAGCAACAAAAAAATGGAAGGCAGAAAAAGTGGAACTTAGCGTAAGTGCGGGATGCAGTAAAACGTATTTTGCGTATGCAAATTTTGGATTGCCAAAGTTGTTCGTCACTTGATGCGCTGATAAAAGAGGTAAAGGATTTGAATCATTTTGACCTTTGTTGTTCAAAAGCTAAATTTCAAGGAAGAGAATCAATCGACGAACTTGCAATTTTCGATGTGTATTGCCGACATCACTTAGATAATTTTACGCGTAGCCGTATTATTGCCAAGATTGAAGACGGATGAAACTAACAGATATTTCTAGGGAATCTGAGGTCAGCCACAGTCTTGTTTCAAGGCTTTGGAAGTGTTGTTTCAAGGCATTTCAGACAAATGAATGTGTAGGAACGTCACGAGGAAGGTAGTGTTCACAGCACGACGACTGCAGAAGATAGATATATACTGCTATCGACAAAAAGGACCAGCGCAGTACAGCTATTGAGGTAGCAAAGCAGTTACTTGCTGCTACTGGCAAGCGAATCTTCCGAAAAAATGTCGCTAGAGGTTGGTGTCAAGGAGGACTATACGTTTGCCGTTTTGTTGTATGCATTCCGTTGTCCAGACACTAATGTACCTACCACCCGTTTGCAATGCTATCGCGAGCATCGTAATTGGACTTAACAGAATTGGGCATGTGTGCTATTTTTAGATGAGGGTAGGTTCAGTCTGTTACCGGATTATAGACTCCAACTAATCTGGCGTGAGAGAGGTACTGCTTATTGTCCAGAAAATATCTAGGAAAGGACCGATATCCAAGAAGCAGTGTATCATGATATGGGCCGGCAGTATTATCAACGGTGACGATACATAAAATAATAAGATAATGGTTTAATTAACATAAGGCCTTGCAGTCGCTCCCACTAGAATTCAAACTATTCGAGAACAAAGGTCTTAACGACTTTAGTGGGGAAGTTTGCAATTCTGAAATTAAAATTAAACCAAAAGTAAATTTTAAAACATACGAGATGTGACACCCCGAAAAAAAAAAAAAAAAAAAAAAAAAAAAAAAGCCGAGACTGGTCCAATAAATTATTGTACTTAGAAAATTAGTTAATCAGTTTTCCGTGACATTATCACCTTCAAAGTAGTCCCATTCAGCATTCACATACTTCTGCATTCGAGGCTGCTATTGCTGGTAACAGTTCTGGAACGAGGTGTTTGGTAGGTCCTTCAAGAGATTCTTTGTTTTTGCTTGAACCTCTTCAACTGAAGTAAAATGGCTTCCCTTTAAACAAGATTTAACTTAAAGAAATAAAAAAGGTTTCATGGAGCCAAATCAGATGCTGCATCAGATGAATAAGGTTATCAGGTTGTAGAGACATTAGGATTTTTTTTTTGGAGGCCGGAGAGATGAAATATAGCAACCGCCTTCGCCGGGTATCGAACCACGGGCTTCTGGAATATAGGCCCAGCGTGAAGAACCACTACACCACGAAGGCACGCTAGGAAAGTGGGAGAAATACCTTATAAGGTGAATAAGGAGGATGATCCATCACAGTAATGTTTTTGCTGAGATCAGAAACTATTTGACAGATAGGGCCGTGTGAGCGGGTGCAATTTCTTGGTACAACAGCCATCTGTCACTTCACTGCTGTGGCCTTGTTTTCCTACTTTTTTGACGAAGTCGTTTTAGTACTTCAGTGTACTAGTGTTGATTAACAGTCTGACCACTGGGAACCTACTCAATCGTTACAATTTCATTAATGTCGAAGAAGACAATTAACCATTATCTCGAATTTCGATTTTGACATGCGTGTCTTGTCCCTGTCCCCTGAAAATCGCTTATGCCATTCAAACACACGTGCACGAGACAAACTTTCATCTCCATAAGCCTCAGTTAACATTTGAAATGTTTCCGTATTTGATTTTTTAAGTTTAGCAAGAAATTTGATGTTGATTCGCTGTTCGGTTTTTATATTAGACATTTTTTTCCCGTATTCCAAAATATTCTGACAGTTTACAGTCTTTTAAACTAAGCAAACTGAAGACTGTATTAAGGCACAAAACAAATTTGAGAGAGTAACAAAGATAGTTCCATAGTTTCAGATTTCATAGCAGAGAGTTTACAGAATACAGACTTCACACAGTTTGCTTTTCTTATCTAATCTTAACAGCAATTTCATTGATGACATATATAGATATAATCACCTTAAGGCTGCTATCACACGTCGGTTTGTTTCGGAAGAACAATTAACAATTTTTTTGCTTTGTCACAACAGCCAATCACCACAGATCGCTTTGGGGTTAACGCAGGAGAAACTGGTTCCCCATTACAAACAAGCTGAGAGCATTCGAAGCTGATAGCTGATTGGTTGAAAACGAATAACCTGCAATTTTTTTTGGAAATGAAGGAAAAAGTCGCGCGTCTTTCTTTCAATAGTAAACCAGGCAGAAAAATTGTCCGAAACAGTTGTTCGTGTGAAACAAACGCCGTGTGATATGGCCTAAGAAAGCTTCATATTTAAGCGAAAAATTAAAACATTATGCGGAATATCTTTTTGCTTCATTGTGATCCGATCACTTCATTATGACTCTCTATGATACACGAAACAATCAATTTTTACTTTTTTTTAACTCTTGATCATGAGCGATCCATGTTTCTTTCAAATCAATGGACGTATTTCTTCACTACATTTAAGCTCATAATTGATAATGGAGTCAAAAAAAATTCTTTCCACTAAATTTAGAAAACTGATTCCCTTTCAGTTATTTACGTGTGCGAAAGCGTTGATATTATCCAATAATACGGCAAATCAGCGACGCAGGCTACCGCGCATTCTAAGCAGAAGGATTGGAGACAAACGAATGAAACTGCTACAGCCAATTCTTTCGTAATGGCGACTGGAGCCATTGAAACTCTGCAATGCTGTTATGCAGTAACATATACAACATAATTACAAATTGCGGTAGTTCATCTAATTTTAATTTTTTCAGGAATTTATTTTATAGGTTTTAAAAATAAATTTAAAGCAGCTTGATTTTCTCATAAAATATATATTGTGAGAATCCCATAAAAAAGGACCCAGAATCTCCGGTAAAACAGACTCATACCTTTTTATCATCTGTACTGAAATTTCACATTTCAACATGACAGTCTCTTACGCTCTTTATCTGGTAATCAAATAGCAATTTACTGAGGCAGGTTTTATCAATGATTCTCAAAAGTTCGGAAGCCTAGTTAAGCTTGTTAAATGAAGCCATAGCGCATTAACCTCTGTGACTGAGTTGGCTCTTTTCCAAGAAAAGCGGCTTATATTTCATCCACTTTCATTCGGGAGTGCATTTTAAACACTTACTGATTTTCTTTTTATTGACTTTCTCTCTTGTTCTTTCTTTCAGCCCCAATCTCTGTGTTAGATGCTCAGGATGATATTTTGTAAGTATTACTTTGTTAAACGCTTTTATCAGTAACTGTTTCGGAATATGATGAAACTTTCTTGTACTGAAAATATCAATTCCGTAATTTTTCACAAATTTAGATCGAAACAAGACAATTTTAATGCTAGAAAAAAGGAAACGCATTAATTATCGTTAGCATGCTTTGTAATTCAGATATGTTTAGAAGGTTTCAGAGGAACTGATCTTACTAAAAGATGCATTTGATCAGAAAAAACGAAGTGAAATTGACATGCATTAATAATATTTTTTCCTTTTTGTACATATATGTATAATTAAGTTTCTTACATGAATATGTAACATTTTATTAATGTAAGTAATATATCATCTTATACCGCACGTGCTGCTTGCTCTGTTCAGAAGACTGAATTTTAAAATCTGCTGGTAAATACAAGCATGGAAATTTCATAAATACTAAGGCGTTGTTTAAGTTGTTTTATGTTAATGTTAAGTCATGCAAATTTTCAAGAAATACAGTTGACAGCTGATGGGAGGCGGAAACACTATCATTATACGAACAGTTTGGTTAGTATTATCTCGTATCCTCGCATATCTAGCATTAAGAAATGCATCAAGTAATATTGTAAGATATTGTAGCCGTTGTGGTTCAGGACACATAATTTACACAATTATTACGTTTCTTCAGGTACTCAAATTACTTTACAGCAGAACATACATTTACAATAGCGCACATTACAAATATAATTTACAGACATTTACAAATGTATGTTACCTAACATCTAAATATAATATTAGAACAGAGAGTTGAACTTCTAGTAAGAAACTGAGTGAATATTAAACTCTTGCTCCTATCTACTGTCCCTATTAACTAAAAAAATGTAAAATAAAATTTTTGAACAGTTACATAACTAGACATAGGTCAGCTCCGAGTTTTGTAAGCTTGTCGAAAATTTTACCATTAGCTTGGAAAAGAAAGATCGTGTATTGTTACTGCGGATTTTGAAGTGGTATTTATTCTCTGATGAGAGGGCAGCTGGTAAGATAATTGTCTGGGGCACCTATTTCTCCACAGACACAGAGGTCAGTGTACCTAACACCGTGTCTTTTAAAACATTCGGGTAAATTAATATATCCTGTAATAAATCATGTTAATTGCATAAAGAAGTGATGATGCGTTTGTGGTCTGCTTGTGTGGTGTAGTAGCATGTGCGGTGGCCTTGTTCACATTCGTCACGCTCTGTTTGCCATTTCATTTGTGCCTTGTGTTTCAGTAGTTTCTTCAAGTATGAGATTGTATAAAGTGCTGGTTGGGGATAATGAATACTCCTTGATGTTGCTTTCTTGGCTAAGCTGTCAGAAGCTTCGTTTACACTCACCTAGCATGCGCTTTTACCCAGGATGTTAGCCTGATGTTATGATACTTATGCCTCCGTAAGTCTCTCTGGATTTGCGTAACTCTATCGGATGTGTGGTGGTGATTGAGCAAGGACAGGAGCACCGACACGCTATCTGTGTGGATGATAATGTCCTGCAGGCTTCACTGAGTGATGTACTGGATAGCTCTGGAAACAGCTACTGCTTCTGCCTGAAATATATTGTTATTACTGAAATCTCAGATATATTCACCACAAAACAACTGATAACTGGAATTTACATAATCAAGACTCAAGAACTTCATTTCTATATATTTGAGCTTTCATAGTTGCACTGGTAAAAATGTATAGATCAATGCGGTCATTTAAAATGACCACCGCCCACACTATGTTCGTATCATTTTTGTATCGATATCTTTCATGGATGCCTTCAGGTTTATTACATGTATTTCACTCCCTATAAATTTCAATACATCTGGAATCACTCTCAAAAAGAAAAAAAAAGTAGCCTGATCAATAAGGAAAACCGGAATCAATATAGGAACCCTGGGATCTGTTGTGATAAGTTTTCGATCTTGATATGGTTGTTTGCATACATTAACAGTGTTTTAAAGCTCTTTCCGGTTTCTTGGCATGGCGTTTTTGGAAACGTTTCAGTATTTACAGACCTGTATCACTGTCTGCTCACTTCTGTTCCCTTAACGCAAGCCGTGTTTCACTATCCGTCCTCTCAGTGACATATTTCATCTTTCACAAGCCAAACACTTATCCATCTACTCGTGCAATACTTGAAACTGAACTGGAACGACCAATTGCTCTGCTTTTCTTATGTTCCGAAACCCATCAGTAGCCTAGTGGTAAAATAGCTAAACACTGATAGTTCGAGCTGGGTTTGATTACAAGGGAATAGATTGGCTTCATGGCCGTTTTCATGTTTTCCTTCATGTGTAACGCAGATACGAGACAGTTTCTTCCAGGAAGTCCTCCAGAAGGCATCCCTTTCTTTAGACAGATTCCCTTTGACTACTCTGCTATAGTTAAATAAACCAATCCAAACCGCACTTGCCGGAAGAAATGGATAAAAATTTTACATATTTCTGAGTAGCGAAGGAGAAATCCATTCGACTATATGATAAAGTTGACCTTGTGCTAATAATCATATTTCAATGGATTTTACTTAATTAACTTGTGGGGTTTCACCCTTTTATCTAACAGCTAAATGTGGAAGAACTTAATGAACAGCTAAGCGAATAATCGCTTTAGTTCAGGAACACAGACGTAAACTCGAGAAGGCTTAACTTCCCTTTAATGCTCAAAAATAAGAGTTTCACAGGTGGCCCTTTTCTCAGAGCGTGAAGCAAAGCCTCCACTTAGGCTTGAACTCAAAATAATAAAACATAGGACATAACTAATGTTTAACTAAAGATATATAGCCGAAGCTATCAAATTCTAAGTAATTGGACCCTAAATATCGAATAAGCTAGCGAAGCTATCAAGGGCCTGTATTACGGTAGAGCGTAGTAACAGCTTAGAGAGAGCCAAAAAGCAAACGCTCGCTAGTCAGAAACTCTGAGGCTCAGCGGAGCTTAAATACTAGTCTTACTCATTTGCATTAAACGCGATTCTAAAAACACATTTTGGTTGGAAATTGTAAGCTTAACTTAGGAAGGACAGGAAATTAGCTTTAACTAAAATTAACTTTTAGAAACTTGGGATAATCCTTATAAACTTAAAGCACATATTATACTTGTTCCATTAATTTTTCCCTCCAGTGAATTATGAAAGCAGAATTTCATATGATCGCTTTGATTTTTCAGGTATCATACAGCATTGCACAGGGCGGTTACCAGAATGGATAAAGTAACTTGTTCTATTCTAGTCAGTGCGGGAGCATCGCTTGATCTTAGGGACAAACAGGTATTGCATCCGAGCATAATCTCTAAATATTATGGAAAAAAAATTATCGGGTGTTTTTTCAAGCATTTTAATGATCAAAACATGATTGAAATGTTATGTTATAATTAATAATTCCTAAAACGTTATTTTAAATTTGTTTTATTTAGATACACGCAAATTCACAAACTATTTGATATAAATCATTTTGCATATTATATGTATTACTGGCAATGTATGAAACTCTGAAAAGTATCAACTATAAGAATTAATTGAATATGTTTAATATTGTATTTAGTTATTGTATGCAATACCTAGGCATTTTGCAAAATGGCAAATGCTATTTAGGTAGAGTATGAAAAAAAGGTTACAGAGTTTGACTTTCTTTGGGAGTATACACTAGCATCAAACTCCTGACAGACGTTAAGGGAATTACTGCTGTGACTGAAATTATGCATCAAATCAATAAATATTACCAATTTATTGCTAAAGCTTTGAATGACGTCTTTTTGTGTAATTGTAGGACCTTAATAGTAAACGTCGCAACGGCCTGCTTTTGCACACAGATTTACGTTGCCTTTGTAAAGATTCATTTTGACAGAGACATTTACAAAGATAGACATTTTTACTTCCTTGTACGAAGTAAAAAGGAAGTATTGTAATCGCGAAAAGTTTCAGCCATCATATTTGAACGAAGATATCCATTTTCACTGTATCGAATGCAATTTAATGATGTTTTTGCGTGACATCTGTACGTAAAGACAGAATAAAGAACTCTTTTCACTCAACAAAATTGTTAAACTAATTTAAAAGGAATTCGGAAGAGAATTTTTTGTGGTGTCTGTAAGTACGTATGTACACACGTATGTACGTATCTCGCATAAGTCAAAATCGAGTAGCCTCAGAACGTTGAAATTTTGTATAGAGGACTGCTATAACATGTAGATGCGCACCTCGTATTTTGGTTGCAATCGACCGCACCAAAAGCATATATATTTATATCCACTCTGTTACTCAGCTCAGTGATCTCAGTTACTTTATTCTTATATATTTGTAAATTGTGTATTTTTTGCTTTAAAAATGATTTAATTATGTTGTTCTTAACTTCCGTTTAAGGTGTTTATGCCTTTAGTTAACCTAGATGCAATAATTGTGGAATTATCAACAATTTAAAAGTTTTTTAAGTGAAGCTAAGCATAATTTCTGATTAGTATGCCGTTCATGTTTGTTTACATTTAAAACTTACCAGAATAGTGGATTTGTTGCCAATTTAGAGAAACTAAGCTTCCCAACAACAAAGTAACGTTTTCTTTATTAGAGAATTGAAGTACGGTATTTTTATGGGAAAATTAACATTATAGCTTATTTTTATATAGAAACTGTAACTTTAATTGTGAATTTTTTTTTATTGCTTTAACTGTATTTGGTGTTTTATGTTTTTCTATAGCTGTAAAATTTTAATGAAACTATTTTGAATTTTATGTATTTTTGCCTTGCCTTGCCGCTAAATGAGAGCTGAATTAATTAGTAGCGCATACGCATTAGGTAAGCGGCGCTGAATCGTCTGCCAAAAATTTTTTTTTTTTTAAATTTCTTTAATTTCCTTTATATATCGTTTTAGTGTAGTCTAGTCTATTTGAATAGAACTTATGGTAATTCTTCAAATGATATGAAAAATTCAGATGATATATATGATTTTTGTACACTCTGAGTTTTAAAATGAATATTAATGCTGTTAAGTGAACGTAACGCCGAAGTATTGCTATGGTAAATAAATATAGTGAACTTTAAAAGAGTTCATTTAATCTATTGTAGTATAAGCGCTATCGACGAAATAGATTTAATTCAAAATTCGTTAACTATTAATTCAATATGTTTAAATGAAATGTGGGAAAATTGCATATAGTTTAATATTCCATATAAAGAAGTCATGTGTTGTACACATCAGATTTTTAATACCATTATCGAATTTCTTCCTTGAATTTGACAACCCTGTTGCGAGATATTTAATAAAATGCAACAAAAAGAAACCGTATATTCTGCTTGGTTGAGGAGACATAATTCTCGATGAAGATAGAACAGCTATCTGATAGATCGAAGAAGATAGAACAGAACGATATCTTGGCTTTTTATTCTAAATTTGATTTCTTTTATTGACATTGAATTGAAAGAATTCCATGACTTTCATAGATTAGTGCGGTTGTCCCTTATTGAAAAGGACTGTATTTCCTCAGAAAATATATTGTTATATAAAAACAACTAGCAAAATTCGAAAAAAGATATTAATCCTTCCAAGGCATTAAAAACTTAAATGTGTCAGTACAGCTTGTAGAACCTCTGAATGCGATGTATCTGATTATGATTTTATAATTCAAGAAGGATTGGTTGCATTGAAAGATGTTTCAAGCACAAGTTTTATTTTAAACACACGGGGTAGGCTATGTTTGGGAATTCAAAAGTCATCCAAAAGAAACATTTCAAAATAAAAGTTGTTACTGAACAACATTGAGTTTATCTTTTTCTTATTTATAAAGCTTTAGTAAAATCAATAATTTACTATGGAAAACAAAAACACATACTGAATATTTTTGAACGAGATGATTTAAGAATTAAATTAAATAGTTTTATGTTAGAAAAATAATTGCTTCAATATATGAATTGCAATTATTACATTAATTAAAATCAAGCTTTCCTGCAATTATAATATGATTTTTTTTTCTGAAAACGTGTTTAGATTTGTAAAATTAAAAAAAATTATATTAATAATGCAAAAAATAATAAAAACATAAATAGAATAGAGTATTTGTTTCTAATTCTTTTTCGTTAATTAGTCTAATTACTCTAAGTTATTTAGGTGCAACTGTTTGTATTATGATTATGTTCCATGCTGTATGTGGTCGTAAAAAAAGGTAAGCGGTCGATAAAGAAACCCTTCTTTTAAAAAGGGTCGATGCAAGATAAAGGTTGGGAATCTTTGTTATAGATTATGATTCTACATTATTATAAAACTGCAAGAGAATATTAATAACATGCTCTTAGTATCCGAAAATTTACAAATTACATGCGGGAAATCCTTTCGGCTCATCATATGCAACAATATTATAAATTAAAACATGTTTCATGTTAATAAATCACAAAAGAATATCAGCAAATGACATTGAAGTAAAGAAACTCAACGACAAATTACATTGATTTATTTTGTACTGACTCCTCATGGCGAGTCAAAAACGATGTCAAAAATCCCAAAATTTGTAAATTAAATATCTCAGTCAATTTTTTTCATACGACAATCAAAGGTTTTGTGTTTTAGTTTTTATAACAAATATAAACTGATACTAAATATGACTAGACGGAGTGGTAAAAAGCATAAACGTAAAAGATATATAAAGTAATAGAACGTATAAACATAACAGATTCCGTAATTTTCACAAAATTTGATTTTTTTAATTAAAAACAATGCCAAAACACGAATATTTACGTCATTTAAACATTTTTCTGAATGGAAGTATATGTCTACGACTAATGACAAATATCAGTTATGTCAATGACTCCAAAGATTTTATGGACATGATGTACATTCTGTAAACAAGTTATTAGGTTATTTCGAAGCAGGGGAGATGAAAAATAAGCAACGCCTTCACAGGGACTCAAACCACGGGCCTCTCGAATACGCGCCGATCGTGCTGACCACTACACTACGAAGGCATGCTAAGAAGGCGGGAGAAATACCTTATATACTCCCACTTTTAAAGGGCTTCTTGGGATTAGGAACCCAATTGCCAAATCCTGGTGAAGAATCATCATTCACCACCCGTTTTAGTTCGGACGCCACAGTAGAGACATTAGAGTTTTCTGAAGCAGGAGAGATGAAAAATGAGCAACGCCTTCGCCGGGACTCGAACCACGGGCCTCTCGAACACGCGGCGAGCGTGCTGACCATTATTCTACGGAGCCATGCTAAGAAGGTGGGAGAAATACCTTATAAAGTGAACAAAATACTCTTGTATGTAGGAAACTGTTGAAAAATATCAGTCTCTTGAATCACTTAATTCAAAGATAAGTTATGGCAGTTAAAGTTTGGATTGTTTTAAAACTTTCTCTGAAAGATACAGTTATAAAAAATAGAAATATCAGAGATTTGAATTATGAAAATTCATGCGATAAAATTCAAATGAATTTTTGACAATCTGCAAGAAATGGTTACTTTGTAAAAAAATTTGATATAGCGCAGGAATATATGCCATCTGTTCTAAGTCTTATTAAATAAAAAATAATAAGTTTCAAAAGAAATTTCCTATTTTTATAATGTTACTTTAATAATCATATTACTGCTATTTTTATTGGATTCAAATAGCAAAGTTAGGAATAGAAGTCTTAAACCTGATTTTATTCTGAATATTTTGAAACCTAACAATATTATCACGAAACCAAATGTGTTTTCTATGAAGAAATCCTGACTATTCAAAAAGAAGTATTATCCGAAAGTCCTCATCTTATTTAATTCGGATAAACGAACGTATTAATTTTATAAATGTTAACAAAGCTTCTTGTGAGAAGTATCAAAATAATTGCAAGGAATGTATGTACATAATACTCGGATTTTGCCATACGCAAATCTCATAACTCAAGTTACGCGTAACTGGCTGACGAATTTGAATCAGCGCTTGTTAACGAAATTGCTACAGTTGTAAAAAATGAAAACAAAGTTTCTTGTTCTGTATCCTCGCAGGCAGGAAACAGGGGCACATAAAACGGTTCGTTTCTCAATCAGAAAGTTGTCTATAATCTTATCTATACATATGCATTCAAAATGATGTTCGTAATAAAAATACAATTTACGACACTAGAAAACAAATTTTGTGAGCAATTTACCCGATACTATTAAATTTTATTTCTGTTTTTTATTACATAACTTACTGCTTATTTAAATAAATGTAATACACGACTTATATTTATTGTCATATATTTTTGAAGAGTATAATACATCTCAGTATTTTATTACTGAATATTTCAATAATAATTTATCTCAATATATTATCATTGAGACTTTAATGCAAAATTACGTAATGCCAATAATGTGGTTTTTAAATACGATAACGTTGTTTTAAAATCTCTTAACAGGTCTTGGGTAAGACAGCTGATAAGTCGTTTTTGTATGGAAACTAAAATGAATTTTAAAGTTTTATGTACTTTAAAATTCATTTACCCCCCCCCCGATAAAATTTGTTAAGGATAAAATTTGTTTGCCCGAATAAAATTTGTTAAGATAAGATATATCACATGTGCCATATCCTGATATAACATAAAATAATCATGATAATTATAACATAAAATAAATAAAATGATCAAATATAACATAAAATAATCATTCATAGTGATGAATGATGATGATCATATACCTGGATAAAGTTAATGTACTGGAATTTTGTTTTATTGCAGGGATATACTGCCCAAGAATTAGCAGAAGTCATGGGTGATAAAAAATTAGCCGAGTATTTAAAAAGTAAGGATTTTCTGTTTCTTTACTTCTCTTGCGCAAGTTTAGATCTAAACATTTAATGTGGATGTTTTGCTGTAGCCTCTGTGATATTAATCATTGGGATCAATGGCTTTCTTCCTATTGAAACAGACATTTTGATAGTCTTCGCTTCCTATTAAGCTTCGCCAAAGGTGAATGAACGTCACCGATCAAAACACTAAACGTTGCCATGACAACATTGTTTCTTAATGAGATCTGAGCCTAAAAATAGAAAATATCTTCTTAAGTTGCTTTGTAAAGATTTCTTTGAATTGCTTTAGAGAATTCAAGACGTATTCCATAAAATTTTCTTTTATTGTTAAGTGGTAGGAAAGAGAAAGAAAATCAACATTCCTGTCGTAATCGATGAAAATCCTTGAAGCATAATTACTTTAATTGAAGTTTCAGCTTTAATTTCATAAGTTTTAGTTAAACAAATAATACAACCTATTGCTAAAACTTCAGTTCTTATAATTACGTTTTTATTTAAATTCTGGCATTAAATAGTAATATTTTATTCATACTGCAGTAACCACCAATATTTATTCGTTTCTTATGTAGCCTATCTGTAAATATTTAGTTCAGGATTCAATGAAAAGCTCTAATTTTTTTTTTCATTTGCTAAATGTATTGCATATATTGATAAATATTATAAAAATATATGTAAAGGAACGCACGAGGTACAGTGACAGTGATGAGGTACAGTGACAATCATTTACGTAAATTTAAATCCAGAAATAAGCTTTATTATTTAGGCAGTTATTTATTTTTATTCCTTTATTTACTTATTTATAATATTTCTTATTTATTTTAGTTTGGTTACTTTTCTTAACATATTTAAATTTGATTGGAAATCAAAGTAAGAACGGAAAATAAGAAGATATTTTTAAGTATAATTAAAAGAAAAACATATAGCTAATTCTCTTTCAAAAATAAATATACTGTAATATTTCTTTGTATTATGCGCATGGAGTAGCTTCTGGGCTTGCCAAGTTTTATTAACAACATGACAGTAGAAGGTGAAATAAAATATTTGGTGAAATCTCATGCATGCACAAACTTTCAAATTTTTCAAGTTTTAAATCTGTAGCGAAAGGTGACATTTTTGCTTTTCGCGATAACATACAAAGCAAGAATTTAAATTTTGTCACGACACATTTCAGGAAAAAAATCTGAAATTGTAGACAAACTGCGATTTTATTGTGCATCTGTTTTGCTTGCGTAATAACAAGCTTCATATTTTTAAGTACTTGAAATACTGTTGTTTAGAAATATAAATTTGCTGTAAAATGAAAGGATTTTTCTCTATACTTTTGAATTAACAAGTAAAATTCTAGTTTAATTTAGATAACAGAATTTTTAGTCGTGCGTATTAACATATTATAGTTTTCACAGGATGATTATTAATGTAGTGATAAGGAGACGTCTGCTTAAAGATGATGGATGGTACCTGCTTAAAGAATTGATAACATATTAGCATACTTATTTTTAAATATATGATTATGATTTTTCAATGGTTTTTCCCTTCAGATCTTTTATTGTATTCAATTGACAATAAAATATAATAAATTATGAAGTGTATCAAAATATCAATCTTTCACATTTGGGAAACAAAAAGCCGGAGAAATCCACGTTGCAAGTACCCTCCTCCTACAAAAACTTTCTTTATACCATCTCGTTTTTAAGAAAGACCACTATGATTACCTCGTACTAAACGGTCATAAAGAAAATTTGATGAGTATTTTTTAAGACTGCGAAATATCATTGGGTATTTTTATTTAAAGCCTGAAGAAACGTTTAAATTTTAATTGTGAGATACTGTGCTTGTTTAAGGCTGTTTTACAGCATTGCCTACAAAGAACTGGAGCTTATCTTTGATTGCCTACAAAGGACTTGAAAAATGTGCCATCTAGATACTCATGTAGTCTGCCGTATTTTAAGGTTTTTTTGTATTAGCTTATCGTCATCTTTCGAATTTGGGACAAGCTGATAGAGAAGCTTCAGACTGTAGATCCTCAATATGGGTATTATCTTTCTCCAATGGCCAATTAAGAGATTTAAATGAGCATTGAGTAACTAATGGGAAATAATAGAATATTTGAGAAATTTGGTTGCCTGAATATTTTTGAAAGAAACATTTACATATTTACTTTTTATACAAATATTACATCATGCATCTTTACAAAAATCATACCAAATTATCGACCTCTCTTGTAAGGTTAAGTGCTTTAAAAACTCTTTACCCGTTTCCATTCTGTTTCCATATAGTGTGATGAGTTTTAGTTAATAACTTGGTACAATAAAAATGAAATAAATACCTAAACATTTTAAAAGTTTTCGACCAGTCCCACATCAAAAAGTCATATTTCAATATTCTAAGGGTAAGGGGCACTCAGGAAAATAGACTCGAAAAAAGGACAATGAGACAAAGAAAGTTTGAGACACTATAGTTTAAACCACTGATCGGGATGTGTAAAGACGTTTTCGTACATTTTTAATCTGCTTTTCCTCTTTCACAAGTAAATATTTGCCAACACAGCATAATATCAGAGGAATCACTGAAGGAAAGAATCCTGTTGAATGACAGATAGCATCTGGCTGAATGTCACTGTAATCGGAGCTGAGTGTACATCATTTTTATTAGCTTCTTTCCAGATATGAAAGCCTTTCCAGCATTAAAGAGACATTACGCTTTAAAATTTGTGAAGTGGTAAAATCACGCTTTATATTTATTTCGGAAACTTGGAACATCCCGTAAGAAACTACTCACTGTAACCGAAGAGAGTGATCATAAACGTTTTGGTACTGAGCTTAAATTGTACATCTTTGACGGAGCATGCTCTCATTGCTTGCTTATGGATAACACTTACACCACTATTAACGAAATTAAAGATCGTGGTGGTGGCAAATGAAAGTTTTAGCCTTTAGCTCGGAATCTATTATATGCTTCTCAAACATACACATTCAGCTTTCTGCTCAACTGTTATATTCTGCGGGACTCTCTAGGTGCACATCTTCGTGCGCTGCAGACCATGCAGGATCGGATCGTTGGTAATAATGAACTTTTGTGATCCGATTAATGATTTTATCTGACTATCATATAATAGTATAATAAAATTATTCTCTATTTTACTTAATGTATTTGCTGTTCACCATAACATTAAGCTTTTTTAAGGAAACTTGCCTAATGCTCTTCATATAATAAATATTGCCATCTTGCGGAACGATATCGAATGCTGAAGTTTCTAACTGTAGTAAAAATGGTATTTTAAAGGTTAAATATATTATGAAGTTGATAATAATAACTCACATTCGAATAATGTTACTTTTCTTTTCAGGTGTTTCAGAACCAGTTATCCTATGAAATTGCCTTATAAAACTATTCAAAAAGATGCTTCTGCCTATATTAGTCAATTCAAATATGTCTTTCTAAATGAAATTTAGACCATATGATTGTAATTAAAGATTATACTTTTATACTCAATATTTTGGTTTCATACTTAGCACTGATTTTTCCTTTTTTCTCACATATTGCAAATGTCAATCGCAGTAGGTGATAGTTTATGATACAGGAATATTTATTTGAGATTTATAACAACAAATATAATTTTAATAAAGTCATTATTCAGATCAATTATCAAATAAAATTTAATTTATATCTTGCTCTTAGTGTTTGTTTACTGTACTAGCCATGGAATCAAGGAAAATTGTTTAACATAATACATAACTGATTATTTTTATGATATCAAGCACAAATGTGAAATATCATATGGCTCAAAATTTCAAATATCATGAATAATTTCATTTGCTCCGAATTTTAAACACCAAAGAGATTAACTATGTTAGTATGTTATTAAACCTCCTTGTTTTAAATTAATTATAGTGATTCTGACTAAATATAACTAAACGATTAATTTCCTATGTTATATATTATGACACAGATAATCTTCTCTTTCATCATGCTTACAATGCTAAGCTCTTGATATTGCCGCCACTTGATGAAAGTATTTTCTTATACAGTTTAATTAAAATCACAGCTTTTAATAAGTTATACTGACTATTTAAAAGTAATTTTATAATTAAAGAAAAATATAGTGAGAAATAATTTGCAAAATATATATATATATATTATATATTATTTTATATATTATTTTCCCATTATATTGCAAATATATATATATATATATATATATATATATATAATAGCCTGTAGAAAAATTGATTGCATATATATTTTCCCATAATGAAGAACAAACCTATCAGCAAAGGCAAATTTAATTTAAACAGTTTTGGCAGATTTAGATAATATTATTTTTATTTTAGTTGATATTTTTATCCATAAATAACTTAAACATTACTCATGCCTGTTCCAGAACATAATATTTAGATTTTTATATAAAATTCCTTATCATTACAGTAATCAGTACTATAACAACAGTAATAACCTTTATACAGTAATGACCGGACATAATATTATATCATTACAATAATAACTGCATTAATAATCTTATATTGTTATAGTAAGAAGAGAGCAGAGCAACAGCAGTTTAATTAGGCGGAAAAACGAAAGTATATTGTTATCTAATATGGAGGCTTAGTTTAAGGAGAAAGGTTGCGCCTTAAAGTTTTTGAATTTAAGTTCGAATTAGCTCTACCATCATCGCTATAAAAGAAGGGAAAGGAAAATTATCTGAATAAAAATAAAGCTTCAGGGACTACTGCAGATTCAACTTAGAATTTTGATTAATATATTTTTTATCCAACATATAACTCCCTTCAAAGAGAGAAAAATCTTCTCAATGAAAATGCCTTTCTAAAAGAAAAAGCATAATAGCATTAGCAAATAAAGAGGAATATAATTTTAAAAATACAAAAAATAAAATTTTAACTCAAGTATGTTTTTAAATAATTGCAAAATATAAATTTACACTTAAATTTAGGGCTAGAAAATATTGTGTTATTATATGTAAATATTTTATGTATTTACCTCCGAGAACAGATACTATAGTCTTTTTCGAGATAATTTTATTGTTTTTTATTGGTTTATGGGACTTGAGAGTACAGTATGTGATTCAAAAGCACAGAAATGCATTTATTTTACATCAAATTACAAAAGAAAAAATGTGACCGTTATTAAGTAAAATACTATATCCAAATATGCCCAGAAAACATTCAAGATATGACACAACTCAGAATGTTTGAAAGTGAAAAAGAAACTTTCATTTTAAATCTCAAAACGTATAAAAGTGAAAGAGCGAATTTCATTTTAAAGCAATTTTCCATCCTGAACCTGAAGGAGAAATTGAAAAATCAGCTTATTGAAAAACTTATTTTTTCAAGAGGGAGTGTGAGGATGAAAGAATGTATTTTCCAAAGATCTGAGAATTCATAATTCTGAACAAACAAGAAATATAAAAAAAAATATGTTTCCTTCATGTCTTACTACTCTTAGAAATAGATGACTAAAATTGAAAACTTTCGTTTTTGAACATTTTGCAGTAAATCTGACAAATAATTAAATAGAATCTTGGAAAAAGCGCTTTTTCTCTTTACATAGCTTTTTATTAGCTATGTGTATTCTGTCGCGAGTTTTAGACATATATTTTTTTAATTTATTTCAGTCTCCCAAACAAAGTTTAAATGTGATAAAGACGTAAGAAGGATCAATGTTATCTCTTTAAATAAAAGTCCGAATTTCAAAACTGATAATGGCAAGTTGAAAGGTTTAAGTAGAAATAATTTATTATAAGAAAAATTTGTTAAAATCAATCGATTTAAGCTAAAATCAATCGATTTTTATAAGTATTTAATATAAGTAACTTTATCTTTTTTAAATTTATTCTTGCACTGTTATTTGTCCCTAATGTATTTCTTACTTATAATATGGTCAAAATATGAATTAATTATGTTCATATCCCATTAACAGGAATCAGCAAAACACTGGTTTTTAAAAAACATATTACTCTACTCCCGAAACTACTTATTTGGTTTGAGGAAAAAAAAATTAGCTTACAATATTTTTAAAGCAAAAATTGTAATTTATTTAGTTTCCGTTTATTCGTCACTATTTTAAAATAAATTCTGCATGCTTTAATTACAATACAAACGTATCGTGGGAACGTTATACTTCTTGTGGTAAAATAAGCATTTGATAAAAGGTTATTTTTATGAAATGAAATTGATAAACTTATTATAACTTTTATTTGATAAACGTATTTCATATTGAACTGATATTAATGTACGCTTAAGTAAAAAGACCATTAAGAGTATATTTATTTACATGATAAAACTGGAGTTAAGAGTATATTTATTTACTAGATAAAATCAGCCATAAGTTGTCTTTGTGTTTGTGTCTTAACAGAAAAACTAATTTCTATGTATTTTGACTTTAAAGGCATTAAAAAAAGAATTAATATTTGATATATGTGTATTTTAAATAGATTTCATTATAGTGCTTACCTCCTAACGCATAGAACACTGAACATTACAAACTTCAAGATCTGAATTAAGAATTAAAACCTAGTAAGTTCAGGATCTGGTATAATAAATAAAATATTAGAGCTTCTGACCGAAATATTACATTTGAAGCTCAATTTCGCTTAGAAAGTTCTCAACGAAGGTATCCCTTCCTTTAGGCAACTAGTCCTAGTGTGCTATCCCAGTATCAAATAAACCAAACCAGCGAATTATATTTTGACATCAACTAAATTAGATGTTGCAATTAATATTAGTTTTAAATGTTGGTTAGCAATGTCAACAAATAATTCTTATGTAACTTAGGTGAGCATATTTGTAATTTCGAGTCACACTTACTGATAAATTACAAATAAAGAACATCCCCTAAAGACTATTAACCAAAACACAGTACAAATAATAAACAGCTTGTTTACAATTGATTCGCAAAATTTTTGTAGTTGGTAATTCAGAAGACCTTGCATCAAAATAAATGCGAAAAAGCTTATATTAAATCAACCTTTTAAATTTAAGTAAATACCTTTTATAGCATGTTTGTAAATTAATCCAGACTTACTCACAGATTTTTCTCAAGTAACATTATCTCTTTTGCTTATATTAACTTTCTGTGCTGAGAGAAAAACCGTTTTGTCAGTTTTTCGTTTTGTAGTTTATAGTTTAATCGTATGTTTCCTTTTCCCTTTCATGCTCTCAAAATGCAAAATTATGGCAAAAAAATTTCATCAGAGGAAAGTATTATTTGGTTTCACATTGTTTTCACGTCGTTCTAAAGTAAATGATAAATCATTGAACAGGTAATCCGATAAAGTTATATTCAAAATAGATATATAGCTATATATTATTAAATTCATCTATTTTAGAACTGAAAGCATAGTAAGGTACCCACTGGTGTCCAAAGGTTAAGTATAATTTATAAAATGTGGAAGAAAGTGAGTAAATATTAATTAAATTGTTCAATATCACTTGTGGAGAATCATTGTTTGAAATGAAACAGTATGCATATGGCAAAACATTTCAGTCCACTTCTTCATGCGCAAAACATATGCGCTCGTCTGAAAGAGTAATAAAACGTTTTACGTGTTACACGAAGAACACGCAAGTTATGTGTAATTGCTACGCTGAAGAGCGAGTTAAACGATTAAAAGGCCGAAGATTGGCACAAAGACGCCAAATGGACATATTTTTGAAAGGAAGATTTATTGGAATGCTAGAATATAGTTGATCTCAAACTGAAGTGGGTCAAATTCTGAATGTGCCTCAGGGTGTGATCTTAAGACTGTGAGGCGTTTGGCAGAACGGAAGATGTTACCCGACGACCAGTACAATGTCGACCCATCCACTTCGGTCTAGTAAAAATTATTCGTCAAGACCGATATTTGGCAATAACTGTACGACGTCAGGGGGACAGTTGTGCCAGGGAACTCGGTTCAGCGCTCACAGCCGCCACAGGAGTATGAGTTTCGAGACAAACTGCTTATAGGAGACACCATTAAGCTAGCTAGTCTGTATGCCAGTCGACCAACCTTTTGCATTTCTCTGACGCCTGTGCATAAATGCGCTCGTCTAAACTTGAGTTTGAAACATCAACACTGGAGTCTGCAAGAGTAGGTAATGCGATGTTTAGTGAGGAATCCCATTTCACCCTGAACACTGATTCTCATCGGATAACGATATGGAAAGAACATAGAACTCGTTTTCACCCAAGAAACATCGCAGAAAGACATAATTTTGCTTCAAAGCGAGTCTTGGTGTGGACAGGCATAATGTTAGAGGCCCACACAGACCTTCAGGTCTTTGACATGGGGTCTGTTACTACTAAAAGGTACAGAGATGAAGTCTTTAAGTTTTATGTTTGCTTGTTTCGAGGCGTTGTCAGTCTCGAATTCATATTCATGGATCATAACGTGCCTTGGTACCGTGCGATCCTGGTCGACAACTTCCTTCAAAGGGAAATGCAGTGGCCAACTTAATCCTATTGAGCATGTGTGAATATGCTCGGGAGACAAAGTGCAGCCCTTCCATATCCACCAATCCTATTCCAGAACTGAAAAGAGCTCTTCTTAATGCTTGGAATTGTTTGAAACTACAACTCATCCGCACTCTCATACCGTATACGGACAATCGTTGTGCATAATGCGTGGCTGCCAGAGGCGACCCCACACCTAATTAAAATAGCAAATAACCTGTTTAATTTTTTTCATTAATGTACAAACTATTAGTTTGCCCTTTTTCTTTCAAACTGTTTTTTAGATAATAAGAGTGATTCATATGCTTTTTTACATTCTTTTCTTATGGTGTAACCGTATTACACTCGCATGTTATGTTTCTCTCCATTCTGACTTATATTTTCTTAAATATTCACATCAACATCAATTATGCTTAACTTTTGGACACGAGGGTATTTTATGTCAATAAACCAATGATTATGATTTGGGTCTTTTCTTTAACTGCTCCTTTCCGTATTCAAACAAGAATGTAGATTGAGTGTAATTAAGCTGATGGTTTTGAATCTTTAGCTGAGAGAGCTTCTGGCCAATCGCGTATTTGTTAGTCATATATTCGGCAGATTTGTTAAAACTGCGGCTTTAGCATTTCCGCTAGCCAATGCTTTATTCTGAGAGCCGTTAAAATGCTTTGAGCCAGCTTTTTTTACTGAATTTATAGTCTTAGGCCACGTTTGCGTGCTACTGTTTAATTTGAATAACCATAAGTGGTGGTTTTATTTGTATCTGTATATTCAACTTAGTCTAAAACCAAAAAGTTATTTTGATTCTCCTTCAGTATTTCATGAGTGTTTAAGACGTAACGGTAACTCTTTCTGTTGTCTAGTAAGATCTGCAGGATTTATTTCTAGCTTCCAGTTAGGACAAAAACCCTACAACATGTTTATTTCGAATTTATTTAAATCTGTTTGAAAAATAAAACAAACCAATTCCTTCAACCTTCTATTACTACTTTATATTCTTTCACTGCTTTATGATCTATTACTTTCTCCTGGAGAGGATAATTGTAACCTCTGTTTGGGTAGATTTTGGACTGAATTAGTGTGCGTAAGCATGTAGTAGTTAAGAGTTCATATTAGTTATAATAATCGAAAACACTACATGAACTGGCTCATTGAAAATTGGCTTTCGCTCAGTTTGTATTCTATAGAATAATAGTTAAATATATAGCTAAATCCGAAACAAACTGGGTATACAAAATAAATTAATAACTTTTGTATAAAATGAAGCAAAAAGACAACCTTAGAGCAGCGTAGAATTTTCAAAAGTCTATCGATTTTAAGGATGATCAAACAGAGGTTCTTCTTCAGCTGCTTTTTTGCTTCTTTTTAAATTTTACAAGGACGTGTTTCTTTTCTAATTTAATTTTATATACTTTATTTATCTAGTTTTATAAAATGAATTAAATAGTACTGCTCCTGGTAAAAATAAAATGTTTACCACTATTAAATACAATTGTATCAACAAAATATATCTGATTAACTTTCATGTTTAAAACTATTGACTATATAATTTACAGTATTAGCTAAGTACTTTTAAAAACATATTTGAAATTCATACGGTATAATACTTTCTTTGGCTCTGAAAATCATATGGCGTGATGTTTTAAGGATAACTGATATGTTTGGAATGAAATTTTTTAATCTGTAGTTTATTTGAAAACAGAAACATTAGATACTAAGACTGACTGTACGGTAATGTGAAATAAAGAACGACACAAAAGAAAGCACACATTTTAGTTCCTGGTTGTTACTTTATTTGTGAGTTATCAACTTATAATATCAACAAGAAAGTTTCCATATTTATTTATTCACACAAGTATTACCGCTGTCTGTGACTGTTCAATGAGCTGTGGTTAAAAAGTGAGAACAAGAAGCACTAGAATCACAGTTTGTATTTAGACATATTATGTATTTTGCTTTTTTACCATAAAATATCCTTCATACTCCAAAAAATGTTGACTCTCTCAATTTACATCATATAATGATAGGAAACACTGGAAATGCAAATGAGAGGCATACAATCACACACACGCTATATGGAAAAATTTCAGAGAGTATTTAGAATAATATCTTTCACATAGAGTAAAAGTTGAAGTACATGCCGTGCGTAGGTTTCACGATGCAAATATTTTGCTCTCGTTATTTCTAATTCGCCCGTAAAAAGTAGCTGATAATAATAAATTTTTTCGAATACAATCGATTCTCGATTTTTTGTTTCGAAATATTTCTACGAATATATAATATAGATAAATATAATAATCTTTGAGAAGAAGAAAAGTTCGAATAGAATAAGGGCTGCAACAAATCCAGACATGCATTTTCGAACTAGGGCTAAACAATAAGAGCAACTTTAATGCAGTTTGCTGCCACAAAATTTTCAGAAAATTTCCTTCCGATTTTTTTATAAATTTAGACTTTATGGAAGTAATTTTTATTAATCTAAATTTTGTCTATGTTCTAAAGTGAAGGTCACCAGTAAAAACCTTTCCAAGCATACGTTCTATTAATATATCCTTATTATCTGTATCTCTATGTTCCATATTTTACATTCCGAGAAATTCCGAAATTATAGCACTGCATCTAGAGAATCGTTGTTGTATATTATTTCAGTTTTAATACTCTCTACCATTGAAAATCTATGTAGATGAGCCATTAACAAAGGTCCAAATTATATTTTATTATGTTTCATATGTATTTAGTTGTTACTCATATTGGTTAGAATTACACGAAGATTTTTCAATCCTAAAATTTGTTTGCTTAACTTTGTAAACTTTTCTTGCTTCGTAATGTGTAATTCTTAAACATTTATACTGATTTCTTCTTCACGTCAGTACATGATTTTACACTCTGCCCTTCCTATAGGCCTACTTACACTGTAATACTCTAATAGCAGTCTTCCCACTAAATACTTTCAGTCCTTGTTTTAGTTTTTCTTTCAATATGCCTCACTTTACACAGCCAGTTGCCAAAGAAAATTGCACTAAGCTCAAGTTTCATTTTTTTTATTCCATCAACAGAATCCAGCAGGCTGATAAGCACTTAACTTAATGGATCATCTGTTCTGTCGCCGGCGAAAAGGAAAAAAGGAAAAGTATTTTTACAGTGTTCGAGACTGCTGTAATATAGCAAAAAATGCTTATTTATTTATTTTATTAATTATTATTTATTCCATTTAAAATGAAGTTTAAAATACTTTATTTTAAACAGTCTGCATCCGATAAGTATTTACGAAATGCACTGTTTGATTAGTCTTAAACCTTTGTGAAACTTAACTCAAATTTTCTCAAATTAGTTGTATTATTAAATAATTTCTTAACTATTTAAAGTTTTTACATACGTTTTTAAATATTCACTAAATTTGAAGTTAATATTTTAAACTGACTTATATAGATACTAATTTGATGTCTTTCATATACACACTGGCTTCTCGTAAATAGTGGAATATTATAATTAAATAAATAATAATTTTGTAAATAGCATAAATATAATAACATAAAATTGTCATTTTAATGCTTTAGTAATCTTGTTATTTTGCGCAAAGTCAATATTGAACGCCATATATTTTCAAATTTTTAATTCGAAATGTAAAATAATATACTAATGTTTTCTTTTTTTATCGAACATGATTGAAGAAACGTATGATCTTCCTAAATTTAGACACTTGTTGAAATACACTTTGTTTACCGCTTAAAACATCATACACAAAAGTCTATGCAACTTCATGCAGACATGGTTTTAATCTTTTTTACATCAAACAAGCAAACCTCTTTCGAAAAGAATCTAGCATTTTTTAACTGGTGACCCTACCCCAGAATATTATAAGCGCTTGCATACCAAGCTCAATCAGCCCTAGCGTTTTGTCTACAAAAGTGCAGCCCTCTTTTTATGTAAATAGCATATAATTCATCTACGAATCATTTAGATAAATAGTAATGTACTGCATAAAGTCAAATTGCGATGAAGAAATTCATGAAGAAAATTGGTTCACGTTCGTTGCGTGATGTAATTAAAATGATTTGAAACGAGAGAACAAAGCGTTTGCGACGACTGAACGCAAAAATTTCAGTTACCCACGACACGTGACCAATTGTTGTTGCACGGAGTCTGACGCTATAGTGCACTGATGTAGATAGACGCAAAACTCACATCAAAGTAAAAATATCACGTATTAAAAAGCATCTAAACGCAGACCTGGGGTACATACCATCAGCACAGAAGACAAGAAGTCAATGTAACAAAATTACAGCATTTATAATTTTAAGGACGTTGAATTAAAATTAAAAAACATATACTGTAATCATTGTTAATAAATGCATTCACGAATATGCAACTTATATAACCTTTCATTAATGTACACTATCAGACCATCTAATATACAACTGTCTGGTTTTACAATCATAAAAATATTCTCAATGCTCCAATTATTCACTTCTAAGTGAGTAATGGCAAACGTACATATAAAGAAGACGTTTTAGACTCAACCCGTATCTTTTAAGAGTCAAGTTAATTCTCACGATGAAACTGAAAATTCATGACAAATCTCAAATCTGCATACTCTAGCTATGCTTTCTACTACATTCAAAAGGATTTACAAACTGTATTTATCATCATTTTCATCCACTTACAGAAATATATAGAAGAATATACAGTATTTCTGAATTAATTATGTAACAAAAATAAATGAATATTACAATACACATTATGACACTTGAAGAGCTTAGAATTTTTTTCCATCCAAAGTGATACCCCAGGACTGGTATTACAAACCCGAAGGGAAAATAAAACAATTCACTGAAATGAAATAACAGCTGTCACCGACAATCAATATTAAAGCCGACCCGAAAGACATTGATCAGTAATATTCGTTTTCAATACAAATCTGACTTTTTTCGTTTAAGCAACTTTCAGTAGGACAATTGAAGATAGTTTCAACAAGATATACCATATTATAATAAACAAGTCAGATTTTTCTCAACATTTTACAACATTAAATACCACTCGACCACATTTCTATATATAATGAATAAAAAAACCATTTTAAAGGTTTTTTTATAAGTGATATGCAACATCGTTAAAATTTAGTGAATATTAATTCGCACCTAAGTCATAACACACTTTGATTTTTGCAATTTATCTACAGCAAACGTCAAACTTAGTAACTTTGATTTGATGAAAAATTAAATTTGCCATCTAACGTTATTACAATATAGTTATGTTACACACACCTTCTGAAGACAAGTGTCAATGTGAAAGCATGTATATAGCTATTAGCTATTTACAAACTCTACGTTCAACCCTATATATTTATATTTATATATATATATATATTTCTAGAATATTTTTTGGACAAACAAGAGTTAATTCTTCTTTCTCACTGTCGAGGCAGAATTTGATGTTCTGAAAGTTGTGCTTATATTTTATATTATTAATATATCCTCTTCGAACTTCCTGCAATAAAAGAAAAAAATACTTTTAAGTTAAAATTCAGTATGTTATATGAAGCATACGATTACATACGCCATCAGAGCCAGGTTTATAGAGTCTATCTCAGCGTATAATGAAAATTTAACAATAAATAGTAAACCTTGCTGCATATAAATTTATCACTTATTTTCTCAAATTATTTTTGGCATTTACGTATTATCCCGTCGGCCCGTGAATGTTGGTTGGTTGCACATAAATGTTGTATAAGTTGGCTGAGGTCTCATCCAAGTTGCGCAAAACGTTCCTGCAGAATTCTGAAGGAACGGATGCCTCTTTATTTATTAAACAAAGCGTATTCAATACGCTTCGCTTTTGTGCTTCTTAAAAAATGTTTTCCATGATTTCTATCATTTTGTTAGGGTCTTCGATTTTGCCAGAAGCGCTGTTCCGAACATTAAGACTACATACTGCTAAGACTCCCACAGGTAATTGCTCCAATCTAATACTGTTTTGTCGAATACATTCAGCTGTTCATACCATGTCTATACTTTGTTTGATGATAGAATCCTATATTTCTGCTTAGAAGATAATCTACCATCTGTCGTTCTGTAAAAGACAATTCAAAGGCAAGAAAAAGTTCATAAATAACAGTTTATATACTTGCCCATAAAAAAACATGGCTTAATCAGTAAAAGTTACATCAAACGAAAGCACAGATGTTATGAGTACCCTGTTATGGCATGCTTATCCATAGATAGGCCTGCCCTAAATCTTGCTTGGTGACAATTTCACGGTCAACGAGATAAAACATAAATACCTTATTTTTTCATAGCAAAGGCAACAAAGGCATAAGATGAAACAAAACACTAGCCTGATCACCTTTTATACCGATGAGAATTTAAAGTTAGTGTGATATCTGGCATTTTTTTTATTAAACAAATTAAATCGTAATATATATAAAAAATTGTCACCTGGCATTTAGTTATCTTGGCCTTCTTCTGGGTCTTTGAGCGAATGCCATTGTGCAATTGGTCGACGAGGGGATGCGAGCATGTCCATCCAATGGCGTAACTCTGTTCCACTCGCGTTGCATCCCAAGACCACCTTCCCAATGGGATCCGAAGTCCCAATGCGATCATAATCAACCACTGTTATCATTAGCTGCACTTTCTGCAGAGAGTTGAAAACAAAAAGACAATTTTGCATTTTGTTTAAATAAATGTTATTCCAAATGGGCATTTCAAGTAAACATTAAGGAGAAGATAGAAGTTTACATTAAAAGAACCAAAATCCTTCGAGTAAGATTATAGTGCTTTTTTATTAAATTTATGCCACGTTTCGTCTGGCATTTTTTCATCTTTTATGCCAACTTAAGAAACTGTTAATACTTGTTGAATGAATATTTTTCAAAAGTCCAAAGTGTTAGACAAAAGTGTACTTGAATTCTGCTCACATTTATCATAGCATCATTAAAGAAATTTCAGAAAGACTGAAGATGTATAGACAGATGTTCTTAAACGTTTATGTAAAAAATATATTTTAGGTGATCATTTTCTTATAATGAGAAAGGTAACAAAAAAGTAGGACAATGATTAATCAAAATTTACTGAGAAAGATCTATAATAAAAATTTTGAGTTAATAGAGTATGTTTTCAAAAGAAATGATGCCGTGATATGAAGATCTTATTCAAAATTGGAGTGCATATTTTATTAAAATTTTTCATAATCATTAAAAGCGATATGTAAATTTTGGAAACAAGTGTCCATTTATGCACTGTATATATTTACTATGACAGTGTCGAAATAGGCAGATATATGGGTATACAATATATTGTTCTGAACAAAGAAAGTAAAATTATAATATTCAAATAAAAACTATAATTCATAGTTTTCTCGTTCTGAAACACAATCATTTCTGCAAAACTATGGCTCCATATTTTAGTAGTGTTAACTATTATTAGTTAACACTACTAAAATATGGAGTAATAATATACTTACAAACATCCATGCCTTTTATGGGATTTAAACGCGAGTTTCTCTAAACCAGTTAAACATACTACAGCTGTACTTGTTCTAATTTTCAAACAATTTTCAACACTTTAATTAAACAACAATTCTAATTTTCAACAATTCAAAATATTTTGAAAATTAGTATAGAACTAATTTTCAAAAACTCTCTGAATTCAGAAATCGTTTTTATATAATATGGATGGAAGTTAAGAAGATCAAAGGGTTGTTCTACTTAACGTCTCTCTATATTTTGATTAACTCTCCAAGGGATGAAGACATTTTACTAATATTCAAATAATATTTAATGATTTGCTCTATGAATAAATCAATTTACAAAATATTTGCATGTCTGTTATTAAAGATTTTAGCATCTTCATATAAAAATAATGCTGCGTATTTTAAAATCTACTTCAAGTTGAAATTTACTAAATTTATAAAGATTAATATTCAAATGGAATTTTACCTGTATCTGTTCGAAGGGGATCTCAAACGTAAAGGATTCATTGTAGTAAGGGTTCAACGTACACTTCTTGATACTCGTTTTCTTCTTCTTTATCCGCTTGCCATTCATCATGATGGCGATTTTAACGTAAGGATCTGGAAAGAAAATATTTGAACATAAGGATTTGGATATTTATTTATTTATTTCTGATCTGTCATTGGCTTAAGCCTTGGACACCTTATATATGACCGTAGGAGGTTGCTCATCTACATCATAGTTTCGACGAAAGATATATAAATATAACATGTGTGAGTGTATATATATGTGTACATACAGATCATTGCACATGTATATATATATATATAGATCATTGTGCATAGATACATACAGATCAGAAAATGAAAATTTTTTAATTAATAAATACTAATAATGTAATTTTAATTTGTGTCTTCTTGTTGAAAATTTCACTACATTTGGTTATCTTCAATTCTGTTTATTTTATCTCTTTCTTTATACGTATATACAAGATACGACAGGAAAGATATACAGGGTATTTTGCCATGCTCTATACCCTTAACTGTGAGATAGAGAAACGGCAAAAGTAACAAATGTCTTAATACAGTGTGTGATTCAATTGTCTCGGCAATTTATGCACAGGATTTAAAATTATCTCCCTGTAGAAATGATACCCGTACAAATGATATAATATAAAACTAAGCTAAAAAAGATTTTATTTACTAGAGACTTTCAATTTATGTCTAGCGCATCGGTTTACATCACAATCCTGTCGTTACTTCAAAAGTCAAACTATGTGTTATTTGAAAATGATGAGAGTCTGATTAACGGTTTCTGATGCTTAGTTTTGTTAACCGTGAAATTATTTTGGATTAAAGAGAACTAAAAGCTCCAGAGCGATTAAAAAAATTAGTCCATTCTTTCTTCGGTGATTTTAAAACTGATTAGAAATTCACCAACTGTTTTTCATTCACTTGAAGTATACTGACCATTAAAAGTGATCGTGAACCTATGGAACACCAGGATATTTCTGATGGCACGCCAGCAGTCACCGTTATATGACATAATGTGTTCTATCCGCTTAAAATCTTGTTAACAGGAACTGCTTGAGTTATTTTATTATAGTTTCGGATTAATCATACATAACAAGCACAAGATACAGTTGGGTTCTTAGTTTTCAATAAATAAATAAATGAAGAATTGTTATTTTTTTGTTTGTTTGTTTCTTCATGGCATTCCTGTTTGCTTGTAGTAGACGATCCCATGCTACATTTTCATTACATTTATTGTTATGTACGGTATTTTTGTTTTGTTATAAATAAAACCAATATTTATGGCTGTTTGGCTTGTCGTTGCAATATCAGTACTTCATATGATGGAATGAACTATGATTTAGAAACTTTCTCCTTAGTTGATAGTTAATTAATAGGAACATTTTGTTTTCAAACTAAATGGAAACGATTCAGATATTCAAAGCAGTAACGAATATAAACAGAATACAGTGTTCTTAAAACCTAGGATAGGACTACAATAAAACTGACTTTTAATTATCCCGTAAGTACCAGCTACTGAATGCAAATTTTATTTTATTTAACGTTTTAAAGCACTTTAGCAAACCAATCAATTTACTGTGCACAGGTTGATAAATATACAAATTTAATTACCAGATAAGCCTCCGACATCCATCTTTTTGAGGTTTTTAGCCTCTAGAATGACCACAGTCAACTTTCCGGCTGTCGGAACATATCTTAAAGAGAAGCAAATGTCTCCCAACTTATTTTCCTAAGAGTTAGAGAAATAAATTAAATCATGCACATTTTGGGCTAAAGAAGTACAAATAATAATTACGTCTTTTCCTGGAATATACTGTTATTTTTCAATTTAGGAATTATAAAATTGATATTGCAAATCAATGGGAAAGAAACAACTTAAAATCTGGTAAACATTATCACTGTATGATATTTCAAGCTTCAGCAACTGTTAGATCATAATTGAGTAACTATCTCATCCAGTATAATTGAGAATTATTTGGACATTCAGCATTTCATAAAGTTTATATTCAACGTACTTACTTAGATGCTAGAGAGGAATGAAAGTAAACAATTGTTCATATTTTTTTTGTTAAAATATATATCGCAAATAAAAAATCTCCAAATACTACAATTCCGATTTTCTATGAAACAGAACCATTCAGAAAAGACAGTTTGCTCTGGGCTTCAGAAATATGCTGTTGAATCAAATGAAGAGTCTACGGATATTAGGACGTACTCACATGGTTTATTTATTTTATGTTTTACTGGTTTTGTGGCATATTTTTGTTGTACTTCAAAAACTTATTATCTTCTGGTCTTATGTTAGGCACCATTAAGGGAAAACGGCATTTTTACAAATTATTACATTGCAACAGTCAATAACTGCTTTGTACTGTTTGGATGAAAATCAATTATCAACCTTTGTTAATTTTAAAATACTATTTTCAAACTTCTAAATGAGCTGTCTTCACTTTTCTGCCTCATCAATTGCATACATTGCTCATAATATGTTCCATGTTGAAAAGATAATCATGACACGCGCTCGTATTACATGATATAATGTGCATAAAACCTTGTCGAGAAGTTCGAGGCAAATACCTAGATGGTATTCTTATTGTAGTTTAAAATTACTTTGTAACTGTATTTCAACCTTTCTTGAAGACCTAAACTTCTCTAAGATAAAAGCTCTCATTCTCTAAAGCAAAAGCTAATGAATTGATGTGCAAAAGGATAGCAATTTTTCCATTGTACAAATTGCCTACTGCAATTGAGTAAAATGCAATACAAATAATAACAAGAACTTGTACTGAGATTTTACTAATTATCAGAATTATTAAACTACATAAAAGCTTTCAAGTGCAAATTTATCTTAAGCCTTTTTTTATTGGCTAGCCTTTTTGTATATGAAATGAGTTTTCCTGTCTCTCTTGAACAGCGTTTCAGTTGTGCTTTGAATTATAGAATTATAAAATCTTAGAATTGATAATGTTTTAATTTAGAAACGAATATAAATGAGTATAAATGAGTTTTCCTGTCCCTCTTGAACAGCGTTTCAGTTGTGCTTTGAATTATAGAATTATGAAATCTTAGAATTGATAATGTTTTAATTTAGAAACGAATATAAAATAAGTTACTTTATAATGTGTTTCTCCCGCCTTCTTGGCATGCCTTCGTGGTGTGGTGGACTGCACGCTGGGCGCGTATTCCAGAGGTCCGGGGTTCGATTCCCGGCGAAGACGGTTGTTCATTTTTCATCTTGCTTCCAAAAAATTCCTAATGCCTCTACAGTGGCCCCCGAACTAAAAGGGTGTTGGATGATGGTTCTCCGCACCCAGGATTTGACGATTTGGGTCCTCTAAAAACACCAATCGTCTTTTAAAAGGGAAAGTATATAAGGTATTTCTTCCGCCTCTTTGGCATGCCTTCGTGGTCTGGTGTCTGTACGTTGGGCGCGTATTCCATAGGTCCGCGGTTCGATTCCCGGCGAAGGCGTTGCTAATTTTTTAATTTCTCTTGCCTGCTACCACTTAACCTAATGTCTCTACAACTTTTATACGGCATTTTGGAAGACTTGTCTGGTGCTAACCTGTATTTGTGTTGTACTGTGCATTGATAATATTAGAACACTCTCATTCTTCTGAATGTGAAATATATAATATGATAATCAACTCTTTAGTTAGCCGTAAATGTTTTTATTTTAATTATGATTTAATTTCCTAAAGCACTATAAACTCCTTGAAATGCTGTATATCCTAGAAGTAGCAAATATGAAATTAAAAGCATATTTAAGTTTAAATTTTCAGTTTAAAAATCATTCTTAAATTTGAAAGTGCTGTTTTAAAACGTTAATTTGCTTTTCAGATTTTCATTCCGAATTATTTAATTAGCTGACCTTATACCTTGCTCATAAATATTAGTGATTGAATTCAAACTCTTATTTGCAAAAAAATGATGAATGTTTAAAATGAAGATTTCAAGGAATTACATTTTTAAATAATACCGTTTCAAAAACATTCCTCTTTCGCAATCAATATTTGTATAATCTTTTCTTTGAAGAGTTTTAACATGATAAAACGAAAAACACGGTGACAGAACATGTCTGGCCTTCAATATGTAATATGCTTTCTTCTGTAAATTACAGAAATCTCCTCTAAGACTAGAAAATATTTTAATTTTATGATATATAATCAAGCTAGATTAATTAAAACAACTATTTTAAATGTGTACATGATATGACTGTATGAATAAGTAATGCAGGACAAGTATAGGAGTATTGAGAAAATTACAGTTTGCTCTAATTGTGTATTATCTGCTATATATATTTTTGTCAAAGGAAGCCCAGATCTATGATTTATTACAGAATAAATCTACAAGAGAGTTAAATGCAATCAATGTGAACCTTCAAATGCTCGAACTTCGATGTTTTAGAGATAATGAGATTTTCAAAAGAAATCTAATATACATATTAAAAAAAATGTCTTTATATATCAGGTCAACTCGTTGAGTAAGACGTATTTTCAGTTCAACTCATTTTTATCTAAATGAATAAAAAAATATATCGATAATATTGCAATACACGTGTGCGTTGGAAGACATTTCAAAAAAAGATAGTCCATAATATATTGCACTTTAGACATGAGACCATGCACTCAATTAGCGTGAAATGTATGTGAATTCCCTTTAATGGGCATGCATTTTGAGGAGTTATGTTCTCTGACAGTTAATATTACGCTTATTACGCTAGAAAAATGTTTGTTCAGCATATTACTATTTTCAGCCTCGAAAAAGTCTGAACATTATAATGCTTTTTCGAAAGAAGTCCATGGAGTTCTCTATGAACATTCGATAGTGACTAGTACATCTCTTGTCACCACTCTAAGGCAGGTTGAAGATGAGAAATTAATCAAGTTTTTGGAACACTGGTGATGATTTTTTTTGATGATTTGTTACCCACATTCTGCAGTTTGTTATGCAAAAAAATTTACAATTTTAAATAATCTTTTAAAATATAATAATTTGAATTTTTCCGTTAAATATCTGAAAAACTAGCGCCGGAGGAATATATTAAAACAAACTCACTTAACATCGACTACTTTTCAATAAAATAAGAAAATGCAATTCATTTTTAAATTCTAAAACTACTGTCTCTTTGAAAATTCTATAACCCTCCGAGTTTCTGAAACCACGTAAATCTCATACACAATAACCCCTATAGAAGCAGCCAGAAATTAATTTCACAGAAATACGAATATAAAAATATTTAAAGACGTTTTTCTCTTAAATTGCTGAACATATTTTCTGAAATGCTTGCATGTAAACTTTAATTAACTCAAAATTTTATAACATTTGTCTTAACACCTCTTCTGTTAAATCGCTCTCATGACCACTATATATATCAACATTCAGACATTCGAAGCCGAGATTTTACACCGAACGTAATAGCACAAAGCAGCAACACTTGCTGTTACTTTATCTGTATTCCAGCATGTCTCTATCCACTTTAATACTCCAGCAGTCGTTTTGTGTATTGTATCATTTGTAAATTATTATTATAAGTAATATAAAAGTGAAGTCTCAGGAATGGTTCAGATCAGAAAGTCCTTACAAATATTGCGATAACATTTTTTTATGTCTGCTCAATTAATCAAACAACATAATTTCATGGTAATTAATTTAAACTTGTTGTATAAGAATTTCAGGCTATAATTTTATTATAAAACTCTTATAAGTTTCTTTCATTTTTTCATACACTTAGTAATAAGACCAATTCTTAAACTGATTTCTAAGTATTACAAGCCCTTTGAGAGATCAATACTAAGCGATACGATAAAGCAGTGGTTGATATCTGAAGGTACACGAGCTTCCCTTGAGTTCCTTGGCTCTCAACTGATTTTTGCAAATTTATTGCTTCACACAAGCGACCACTATTTTCCCATTAACTTATATCCCACTCTAAGAATATGAAATATTTTGGGAAAAGTGTATTTCATACAAAATTCTGAATTCATGATACATGTAACTGACCTTAGTCTTGTTGTTATTTTAACTGTAAAGTTATTTACGAAATATGATTTTAAGTCAATATAATTAATATTTTAAATATTCCATGTGTAATTCGAGTGCGAATTCCTTAATGATGTCAAGTAAAGCATATTTTGTTGTCCGCGACATGAATACACAACTTAAACTAGGTTTTCATTTACACAGAACTTGATTGCCGCTGTAATAAAATATAATAAAGCTCTGAAGTGTCTTATTTCCAGTATGATTCCTTTTATACTAATTTGTTTCGGCTCTTCTCTTCCCTATTATCCCGACTATATCTTCCAGATAACGATGCATAAATTATTTTGAATGCAAATACTTCTGTAAAAATGGAATTCTAGATTCGGGACAATGTCTGTTTGGCTGATAAAAGTAATTAATAATAATGAAAGTAATTATAAAGATGTGAAAAATTCCCTCATTCTATTGCACTTTAATTGCATACTCCTTTCTTCACACCATATAAAATCGTGCGATAAATGCGCAAAAATATCATTAATTTGACATTAAATAGTTTACCTTAATTTTTTGAACCATTACACGTTATCTGCATAAGTTGCATTCCGTGGACTCCGTAAAATACTTGTAACAGAAAGATCCCTTTTTAACATTTACAAACCACAATATATAGATACCCGGATTAAAATAATACATCAAATTAACATAAAATAATAAATTAAAGCAAAGTTCAATTTTGAACTGACC